ATCAAGGAAAAATTTAATTATTCCACATTAAAAAACAATTTAAAATAAAAAAAAAATCGAAAAATTGAGTGAAAAAAGTTTGGAGCAAGCGGGGCTCGAACCCGCATTTCTCACTTGGGAGGTGAGCGCCTTATCCGTTTAGGCCATTGCCCCAAATTACCACTTGTACGTGAAGTTGCAAAAACAGAATTAAAACAACAAAAATGTTTAATTAACTGAATTTTAAGAATGTTTAAACAATTTTATAAATTCTAAGTTTATAGAAAATATTTTAGTGAAAAATTTTCTAATGTCGACATGTAGGAAAAAGTAATGGAGCAGACCGGGGTCGAACCGGCGACCTCTCACATGCGAAGCGAGCGCTCGTACCTCTGAGCTACAACCCCAATTTGTCTTCGGCATGCAAAACACTTATTTATTCTAAAAGAACTTAATGAAATGAATTCAATTTAAAATTTAATTGAATAAATAATAAATTTCTTTCTGTTTTTATTAGCAAACCACAAAGGAAAAGAAAATATTTTATTTCAATAAATTTTCAACGGACAGTTTATGTGTTTAATTAGCAATTAAAAAAATGCATCAGTTTCATTTGCAAATATGTATTCAGTGCCATTAAAAATTAACGGCCGTAAATTTCTCAACACTCTGAAGCTAATTGTTCAACAGCTGAAGACATCAGTAAAGGCTTATAAAAAGTACCGTGCGAGGCTTTAACTTATATCCTCAAAACTTTTTGTTTTCAATTACAATGATTTATGACCATTCTCCAGATCCAATTTATGTGTATAGTTATGACATGAGAGCATCATTTGTTGTCTTGTAATTGATGATAACACTTGGTGATTAATCATTGATAATTGCCGCGTAATGAATGTTGTGTGTATTTGTGTGTGCTTGTTAATCTACCGTCTTTATGCGTTAATATGATTTAGTTAAAAGAATTTGTAGCAACACTACTCATATGACGTCACTTTTTACGAACATAAATATATTGATGGATTTATGAATGCTCCAAGAAGAAATTAATTACCAATTCTCTGCTCCTCTTTCATTCTCGATCTTCGGTTAATTTCTAACTGTCAAAAAATATCCAAATTGAAAACGATGAGATAATGAATGATTCTCCTTGAAGATGTGGCAATTAGAATGTACGCATTGTAATTGAATAATTTATCATTTCAATCACGAAATTATGACTAATTGATTATTGTTTTCTAATAGAGTCGATCGTTGAAGATAATCGGTGAACGAGCCTAATTTCTGCAACACGAATAGATGGAGATTGAGCGTATAACATTGCACCCCTTGCTGTGAGCTCATCCGCTAAATTAAACGAAATTAGATTGCTTTAATTTAAAAAAAAATGCAAGAATTATCGGATCGGGGAGGGTCGGAAATTACTTCATTATTTCATCAATGAAAGCTCTTCCATCCAGTTGATTTCTTGGAAATGTTCAAGTTTCCCTCTCAAACCATTTAGTCTGATTCTGATTTGCTAATTTTTAAAAATCCCATTTTAATTGCTGAAGTGGCAATAAATCACGAACTGTTTCCTCCTTTCAAAGCTTAAATTAAACTCAATAAAAACTTTTTCTCCTCTTTCCCAAAAATGAAATTATTGCACCTTGTTTTTCAACTCAATTAACAATAAATTTAATGCTGTGTAATATAAGGAAAATAGCTTTCTTAGCGTTTTGCAACCATATTTAGTAATAATCGCCAGGGAAGTTAAATTGAAGCAAAAAGATAACAAATAAAAATCAAATTAAATTCAAGTCAGTGTTTGGAGATTCTTATAAGTATGCAAACTATAATAATTTATCCACTGATGTTTTTAAAAGGAAGAAGGAGGGAGAACTCACTTGGGTGCTTTATCGTTCATTTTAATCAAAACATTTTAATTATAAAAGGCCAAGAACGATGGAATTCCCCCTTCCAATTAAACCAATTTGAAAAGGTGTTTTCAGCAATTTATTCTTTCAATAAATCTTTCCGATCTACCTAGTCTTGATCCATTAAGTTTCATGAATCACGAATTCAAAAAAAGAGGCTATTATTCAGTCGTTTCAAAAGATAAAAGAATTTTGAATGAGACCGTCAAACTCAGCTGAAATTTGAAATGAAAACACTTCAATAAATCAAGATTAGAGCGAGAGAACCACGTCGGCCAGCACGAACGACTCTTATCACGAACGAGGATTTAATTGATTTAATGCTTTTATTAAGTTTGTCGTCTTATCATTCAATTATAATTTCTCCTGACGTCAACAGTCAACGCTTTAAATAAATTAATCATTGCTAATTTTTCCTATCAAGCTGTTGCTTTAAACCGCAATGCGATTAATTTAAGTTTGACGCACTTGATAACTGAAAAAAATAAATAAATTTCGTACTCACAACAACGGTTTAAGTTAATTGAAAATCTATTTTTAAGGTGCTTAAGAATTAGCTCAAGTCTGTTGATAACAGCGAGTAAAATAAAAATGTTTGTCATGAATTTTAGTTGATTAAACATTTGTAATCATAACGAAATTCAATTAGTGACACGAGACATCGAAATTATTAATAAATTAAGAGCACGAGATAACAGATAAGTCTGAAGTTGTTCTTATCGCACACTTGTCATGTCAACATGTGCTTGATTCAGAAACTTCTTTCTGAATTGTTGATTGTGGTCAGTGACAATGATAAGCAACTGATAAAAACAATTTTTTTAATTTCTTTTTCCAACATTTATTTTTATCGAAATTAAACATCGATTTTCATGTCTTGCGATTATTTTAGCAATAATTCTTTCAATTAATTTTATTTCTTAAATGTAGGACAATTAAAGATTTTAATCGTTGATATGTCAATAAAATTAATAAGCACATACAATTTCTTGTTGTAAACAGCATCAGCAATTGAACATCAATAACAACAAACTCGAGCACATGAAAACAGCAAAGATAAATAATTCAATAAGTTTTTAATGTCGGCATTATCATTTTTAATTGATTTTTCATTTCCAATGTGTTTGATGATTATTGATTACCTAGAATTTTTATTGAATTGCATGTCAGTTTTCTACCTACCGTTGAAAAACTAAGAAAAGAAATAAAGTAAATTGGATCGTTTATTGATGGGCAGTTTAGTCGGTAGCGAGTCATGAAACTAGAACCATTAATTCAATTATATCAATAGCTTCAGTCTCTCAATGGAAATACGCAATTTCCCTTAGATGTTTACGAAGTTAGTGAAATTAGTTCTTTATTTTCATAATAATCAATCTAAAGTCATTAGAACGATCCCATCCAAAAATATGACGAAATGAGGATTTATACAACTAAGTGAATTAGTCGAAGTTCTGAGAAAGATATCTAAATTATGTCTACGAGCTTCGAGCATTTATTTTTCGAACTCAAGCTCCACCTTTTCTTTCGTAAATCTCTCATATAATTTAGTTAATATTTTCTCCCACACAAACACATAAAAAAGATGCAATATGGAAAAACGAAATATTTTAAATAAGTAATGAAAGGCGCAACTCTCGATTGGAGAATTTTTTACTCAAATTTTCAATTGAAATTTTAATTGGAGTGCCAAAAAAATTTAAAGATTTTTAAAATGCGAAGGAAGAGAAATCTGGAAATTAATTAATGAAAGCAATTTTTTGAAATTTAGTAATAAATTTTTGTTTTCTTGATCACAATTCACATTCATATGGAGTGAGTAATTTAATAGCCACTGAGTAAAAATCTAAATTGACTATTATCCTAAGTCTATGTCTAGTGAAATAATTCAAGTGATTAAATTCATTTGATTGACATTTTAATTTAAAGTCCATAAAATTTTAGTACTCTCGAGTTTGAGTCAAACATCAAACAGAGCGTTAAGAAGAAAATGTTTGAATTAATTTCGTTGATATTTTGCTGCCGAAAGCCGTTAAAATAATGTCAAATCTGGCAGTTATCATCGACACCAAATCTTGTACCCGCTCTCACCGAACAAAGCACGGTTCATAACTCATTAACTCCAAAATAACAAAACGGTTTACGAACAGAAATTAAAATTATTTTACAGAATACTCGACTCATTTTTAAGTCGAAACGATCACAATTATCTGATAGCGAATGAGCTTAATTTTTTAACACTCAAATTCAGCTAGCAAACAATGATTTTACATGATTCGAAAAGAATTCTCAACTCAGAGTTTTGTTTAATTTTTATTTAATTGATGCAATAACATTTTCACATGGATGGGGTTGCGTTTCTATTTTAAATACCGAAAGCCTCAAGTTTCAATATCAAAAGTCACTTAAAACTATCACAGAGGCGTTAAAATTATCTAGCGATAAGATCATAGTCAAAACAGACAAAAGAAACACCTGAAAAGTTAGTCATGAAATTATTATTAAATTCGAGGCTCATTCACTTTTATCATTTCGTAGTCATCTCAAAAAAAAAACAAACCTTTATGATTCGCTTAATTATCCACAAAAATAAAAAACTAAACGATCATTACAACTGTGCCTCATAGACCTCAAAATTTATCTACTGACAAATTCATATCGCTTTAATAATTATTTTAAAATTAAATAATATCTATTGCGTTTTTTAATATTTTGGGACAAAAAAAAAATGATTGTGATTAGCTTAACATCGAGGAAGTTAATTTTAATCGTTTCTTTTTAATTGAGATTTCCATTCGGTTATTATAAATATTTACATAGATAGCTACATACAAATATTGGACAATTATTTTTCAGAAATTGATGGAATTACCTACTTTATTACTCACTCACATTTTAAGTCGATTGATTGATAAGATTATGCGAATATTTGTGTTGGATTACAAATTAATTTTCAGATATTTCTGTGCTTCAAACTCTGGGAAAGTTAAGAATTTAATCCAACATTAATCGCATGTTAAGTATCTGTTTCGATGCGAAAAAATGATATGAAAGTTCTGCAAATGAAGCTTATTAGAAAGTTGACTCAACTAATGAATCTTTCCTTCTTCAATTTTTAAATATTTTTACTCGAAAACTAAAGTAACGTGAAATTTAACAGAAAGTTATTTGCTTTGTAGTAATTTCCTTCTTTTGCGACGATTTAAAATCGAGTAGAAATGACGACTTCTTATGGCGTGGCGTGTCTCATGAGCTTAATCAGTCATAATTTCAGAAACCGTAACTTTGCGGGATGATTTCGAAAGTCATTTGATATCATAATTGGTTTTAATGGAGAATCCAAAGCTACTCTAAACTAGATTTTCTTTACTTCACCTGCTTTTAACTCTCGATCATCTTCTTGTTATTAACTATAGTTTACACAATTTACTCGCCCTGTCGTTTCTCTCAAATTCTATTTAAAGAATTCAAATCCAATTAGAAGCTATCGGAGATCTAAATAGGCAGAGGCTAGCGAATCGTCTTCATTCTACCATTGTTCTCAGAACCATGAGAAATGTTTAATTCATAGCTTTAAACATAAAATTCTAGACACATCATAATCATCCACATTTGTTTTCTTTCACTCGTAAGAGGTCGAGTTAAGCTTTGTTGAATTGGAATAAATATTCGAGGCTATTATTAAATAGACAATTACTATTTAGACACCTACCGACTTAAGGTGAAAACGGAAAAGTTGTAGAAATTCCAGAAGTCGATTCAAGATAAAATGTCAAGCGGTTGTTGCTGTTGTTACTTATTACACACATTTCAAGTTCCATCATCACCGCCCCATCAGACGCGTTAACTCTTTTTTGTTTTACCCAGAAGCTACTCATTTAAGAACGAGTTTAACATTAATTTCGAAATGAAAATAACATCGAGTGGGAAAAACTTTAAAGTGAAGGAAACAATTTTTCTTTCGATAACTTTTAATTGGATTCTGTCTTAAGTTATGTTGTAGCTTTATAAATAAGTGCAGGGGTTGAATTGAGTTTATCCTCAATTTATTTAATACGAAGACAGCATTCAAAACAACATAAGCAGTCCCTGATCCATAAATAAATGACCGTGATTAAATCTATTTAACTATTCACAACAATATTCATCTAATTTAAATCCAATTCGTTGTGGATTCGTTCGTGCAGTTGAGGATCGCTTCACGACTCTTTTAATCGCCATAAATTGATCTCGATCTACATGTCCATTCGATTCACGTTAATTTATTATATTAAACATCAACTGTTTTCTCTTTCTCATGAAGTTAATTTAAGTCGATATGAATATCTTCTGTAATAGCTTATAATCATTAAAGCATTGAAACGATGAGAAGCGATTTTTGTTCATATCCATCACTGATGGCTTTAATTTGAAATCAAACAATCAGATTTCATTTCTTCTATCCACTTCTCTTGCATAGCCTGTGTACATGGTAAATTGGAACTGGAAAATGGCGTTTAAGTCTCAAAAGCTGATTTTTCTTATTACATTTTACGCTGAATTGAATTTGTGGTTTTAAGTAAATGATCCTCACGTACATGTTGCAGACTATTTAATGGAGAACTTTTTCTACGATTCTTCTTCTTTCATATAATTTGAATTTGTGTATCGCATCGTCATCGTGATTTGCTGTTATCTGTCTATCATTGATTGAACAAAGTTTTTTGAAATACGACGAGAAGTTGAAGGAATAAGAAAGTTTCTCGTTGACTGGGTGATTGTAAACATCTCAAATATTCATTTCTATTTTATAATATAAAAAGTGAACATAATTTATGAGCCACCCAATGACTTGATTTATTTAATAATTTTATATTCTCATGTTTGTTGTTGTTACACAAATAAATATTATACAAATAAGACAAATGAAACCCACAACAATATCATGTTAAAGTTAAATGTAATTAAAAATGTTGTGATGCAGACGATGAATGTTTGTGATAATTAAAGAAAGAACGTGATGCCGTTGATACTTTGGCGCCATGAATACAAGTCATGAGGTCAAATGAATAGTGAAATTTAAAAGATTTCAATTGTCATGGCATATTTACATGAAGTTTCTTTTATAAAACATTTCATTCCAACTTTCAAATGAAGCTCCACACATTCAACTTGCTTCCATAATCCAATTTCAATCAGCAGAACAAAATTGGAATAATTCAACGAGAAAATTATTTCCACCAAAACTAATAATAAATCCATGTTCAGTAAGCAAATTAAGCAATTGAAACGAGAAATTATTTGTTGATGTTGTTTAATAATTCAAATAATTCATTACGATCGAAGTCATGATCACCGTCAAGCACGCACGAATCTGAAAATTTGTAATTGATTCATTTCTTGTTGCCTTTTCCTGAGTGCTTTTTATGTTATAAATGTAATATCTATGACCATGTCCCTCACTACGTAAACATATTTAATCTCGCAGATCACTGGGTCAATGGTTAATGTAATAAGTAATAATTTATTAGATCCAATTTGTTGTGTAATTACATAATTTTCAATAAACATTAGATTCTTATCGTTTGCTTTTTGGGGAAGTGGAAAAGGAAAATGACACCACAAGATTATTTAACTTCACCTTGACAATCAATCGGATAAATTAGTTTTCCTTGTCCAAACAAAAGCAATTTATTAGAAATTATGTTGAATATATTCTGGCTGATAACAAGCCACAACTTTCTTACCTAATTGATGTAATTTTTTATTTTTTTTCGGGATAATTTTGAGGGAATGAAGAAATTATATTGCGATTAATGTCCCTCATTTCCATATTTTATTATTTTATTGAAAATAAGTAGGTTTAGTATAACTTATGGTGGTGTTGCATGAGAATTAATTCCGTAAATAATTTGATAATTCAAATGCTTCGAAGATATCGATGGATTATAATCGGACACGATGTTTCATTCCTTTATTTTATTTCGAGGATGGATTAATGTTGCACCATGTAATTTTCAATTATAAAACCATTCGGAAACGGTGATGAAGAGAAAATAATTTAAATAACAGGGTTTGAAATTGTGTGTCTGATAATTTCATTGATCAGGTGCGTTCCTTTTGTGTCTGTTTGGAAAATAAAAGAAGGAATTTTCAACAAAAGGGAAAAGCAAGCCAGGAAGTTAAAATCCGCACAGTCACTGCCATAAATTCTGAATTGTGAGCGCAAACATTCTTAGGATAGTCACTTAATTTGATTGATTTTGTGCAAGTTCGTTCCTTTGTGTAACCTCAATGAAGTTAATAGAAACATTTATTACATTGTTGGATTACTTACGTGAACACGAAAGGGTTGCATTTGTCACGCTCTTTTGTGTATGGAAAAATTCTTTTGAAACGCCTTCAATATTCTTTGTTGGACTTATTCAAGAAAAAAAATGGAAAATCGAGTTAACAACTTGCTGTGTTCGTGCGTGAAATGTTAATTTAATTCTCAAACAATCATACAACGAGTTTTAATTTATGCTTCGATTGGACTCGGAGAGATCACGTCATTATTGAAGGTTTTTTAATTCTATTTTTGAAAGAACTTTTGTTTCGTCTATGATTAATAAATATTTAAGAAATTTCTTTCCATCAGCAAGGATGGAAAGAGAGAAAAATGAGAAACAAACATAACAGATGTGATAATGACAGAGCGGAAAACTTCCTTGAGCATCGATTACGAAACACAAAAATTGATCCTTTTTATCTCATCAGTAATGATGACCACACAGTCATCTATCGATGTCGGCTTTCTGTACTTGGACAGGTAGACTGTTGGTTTTCTAATTTAAAATTAGCACCGGAAGCCGCAAAACATCAGAATCATTTTACTCAACAAATAATGTGAATTTGTTATGTTGCAAGGAAGAAATGAATCCCAACGGTGAGCTCTGTCGCCATTGCATTCTCCAACGTCAATTAAAATTAATTGCGCGATTTTATCAAGCATTCAGCCAACTTTGAACGTCCATGGGACAGTAATAAACATTTTAAATATTCAAAGAATGTTTGTTTGCATGCGATATAATTTTATTCTCGTAATTGATGTTTAGAGATCTAAATAAATGCAATTTGTATTGATGGAAAGCAGAATTATTTTATTAAACTTTTATTATTTCGTATCTGTTTGTAAAGTAATGGAAATTAGTTTTTAAAAAATATAATTACGCGACGTTTCCATTGACAGCAAACAAAATGATGACAAAACAATAATCAAGCAATTTTGAATAATCATCGTCAATGGAAAATTTCACATTTAATGATAAAATCCTTTTAATTATAGTATTGTGCTTCGAGAACGAAATGAACCGCTACGTGGTTGATCCTCCTGATTTTCTTGTAATTCGTCCATGGTTGCATCGTCTGAATCATCCATCACTGCGTCTTCATCTGCCTCCATGACTTCATCATCATCATCATCATCATCACATTCACTTGTTGCATTTGTATTTTGTGATAAAATCTCTTCACCTTGTGCGTCGAGGTTCTTAAGTGTCCCAGTAATTATTGAACTGGCTGGAATGTCAGCTGATGGTAGAATTGCACAAACAACTTGATAATTCTTTGCAAGAGCTTCATGAAGTTTTGGGATGATGTGAAGAACTGATTTGTTCTTGCGATGCTAAAAAATAAAAGAAAGAAAAAGTTTAATTAAGAAATGATTTTGAAAATATCGTCAGAAAGTTTACCTTCAAGTCACAACTTGCGAAATGACTAAATCGAGTAATATTTTGAACAGTTTTCACCAAATCCATGAACTTTTCTCGATTCTTCACGACATTCTTCAACACTGCAATTCCATGTTTGTTGAACAATCGAATGAAAATCAGAAAATGTTTAAGGAAGACGACAAAAGCATTTTGTGTTGAAATTCCCTTGCAAATCTCCGTCAATTGATTGAAAATCTTTGCCGAACTCAACCAAAATTTGAAGTTTAAATCGTCAGGATTTGTATCGCAAATAATCTTCGACAAGCGATTCATGTAAGTCCGCAACATGTTGAGGGAATTTTTTTTATTAAATGATGGAAATGTTTCTTGATATTCAATTTGTTTGCTGAAAATTTTCTTCATGTCGTTCATCATTTTATCAACAAGTTCTTCAATTCTTTGCAGATTTGCATCGTCAACGAAGATTTGTAAAAGTTTCTCCAAATTTCCATTAAAAGTTGCGCCTTGTTCATCATCACCAACTGAATCTTTCCATTGTTTCTTCAGGAAATCTCCACTGAGTTGATGAACGAGCTCGTGTTGTTCTCTCGATGAACTGAACCGACTGATGACTCTGAGAAATGTCACCAAAGCCACTGCACTGTTACAATTCTTGACATTTCTCTCAAAACTCGTGCCATGCTCGATGATAAGAAAGCAAAGTTGATCTTGCGATTCAATTGATTCATCGCCATCTGGAATCAGCGACATGAGAGTTTCCTTCAACAATTGGTTGTGTCTCTGCAACTTCAACTTGGGACATGACAAAATCACTTCGAAAATTTTCAACACCAAACAAAAGCAATTCTTTAAAATGTTTGCATCTCTCGTGTAAAATACTTCTTCATTTGCATTCTGACTCATCGAAATAAATTCACCACGAATGGCTTCAAAGATACTGACAAGGAATGGAATCACCGCGTCTTTCAACTCTTCAATCGTGCGAATTGGATCGAAGAATCCTCGTTGTTCAACACTCCTAGGGTTACAAGTTGATGATATTTTATAATAAATATCATCGAGAAGAAACATCAACTCGTCTAATCCAAGCTCATACTCAGAAACATCTTCCGAACTGAACTTGAACGTTTCAGTCAAAAGGAGAATAACTTGAGTGTCAATTTCACGACAAAATGTTCGAAGTTTGTTGTTGATTTCAATCGACGATTCTTGTTCATCTGAATTATTTGCAATTGTCGAATTGTTGTTCTTCTTTCGACTTTTCTTCAAAGGTTTGTGAAGATTTTTCTTCTCTTTTCTTAAGCAATCAAATGCTCGTTTCTTAATGTCAATGTCAAGGAAGTCAGCAGCTGGTGGATAATAATTTGAAGGTGCTGCGACAAGAAGTTTATTTAATTTGTTTTCAATCATTACAAGTTGTTTAACACGTTGCGTTACGCACTTCGATAAAGCTTCTTTATCATCTTGTGACCAATGACAATAAGTTCCGATAATTTCTCGAAGCCAATTAATGCAATGAAAGTAAAGATCCAATTGTTGCTTTGTTTTCTCTTCATGCAACTCGTCAATTTCATCATCAGAAGTTGCAAAAGTTTCTGTCACTGTGATTGGCATCACAGCAAAGACGTAAAGTTCGCTTAAGCCTTTGAAACGATGTTGCATGAGAAGACGAGTAATTTTAAACAAAGATGGAATGACAACAACATTTTCACTCTTCTCAATCATTACTTGCAGTCCCAAATTTATTCCCACTGTTGGCTCTTCAAAGTCATCGACATTCACCATGAATTTATGTGCAAGCGATGATGGAAGTTCTTCACGAAGATCAACAGCTGTCAAAGTTTCAAGCTCTTTGAAAAGCTTTTCACTTAACCATGTAAGGAAAATTTGATTGATTTCAAATTCACATCTTTTCGATTGAAATTCAAGACTCATTTCATCGTAAATCATCGCTAAGCCGTGTGGATTGCCACGAACAGATTCGATGACAAAATTGACACGTTTTGCTGCATCACGAATTGGACCTTTTGGAATGTCATCGTCAATGGTAATGTCATGAGTTTTGGTGACTTTCTTGTGACTTTTTGTGGTGGAAACATTTACGACAAGTGAACTGATGATTTTAACAGCGCCAATGATTCCAAGTTGTTTAATTTTCATGTCGGGATTGCACATTAACTTGCTGACAATCATTTCAAGATGCTCTTGAAGTGCTGCGCGATCTTCTTCCAATTTCCTCCTTTCTAAGCTACTTCGCTTTTCGTTGTCACTCGTAGTGTAAGCTAACGAACTTAGCAACTCCATCACAAGTCGATGTTCATTAAACGTCAGCTTAACTTTCGATGTGTCCAAAACTCGCAGTAAAATTTTGTGATTTAATAGCAAATCTTCAGCTGACGATTGTTTCTTGCGAATTTCACCGAGAATGTTCAAAGTTGACATTTTGAAATCAGAAACTGGCGAGAATGGAAGTTGTGGTGACTTTTCCGAAAGAAACTGAACCAAAGATCCGATAATTTCTTTCTTATCACTTGATTCAATTGAGAAAAGTTCTTTAAAGCATGTTGATGAGAATTCATTAATCTCATAAACATTATTCTTATGTAAAGCATTTAACAATTCAAGTAAAGTACCAGAATATTGTGAAATGATTGTTTGAAATGATTCAAAAACTTCATTCAAGAATTCAGTGGAAAAAAATCCAAATGGAGCTTTTTGAATTAAAATTTTCTTGATTGATGGCAAATTTTCTTCTCTCACACTCATCATCACTAAAAGCATCACAAAGTCGAGTGAATTTAAATCTTTTGCTGCTTCTAAATTGCTGATTGCTTTCATCCATGCGTCAGCTATTTTTGACTTTTGTCGTCTTAGTGATTTCTCCAGTAATTGAACAACTTTCATCATCACAACTGACTCGTCGTCATTTGTGTTCCACTTTAAATATTTTCTGAGATTTTCCACAATATCTGTTGGTGACTGCATGTAATAAAGTAAATATTTGACGATTCCTGCATATAACTTTGAAGAACATTGATTTTCAAGTAAATTCTGTACGAGACTTGAAATTCTGACTTTCGTATCGTCGCTGATGCACATTTCAGTGAATGTTTCAATAAACGGCGTCAACAACTCTTGATTACCCGAAAACATTTCCAACAAACGTTTAACAGCATCATCTTGCTTAAACTCATCTAAATCACGAAAATTTGAAATAATCACCGCTCGACATGCTTCACTTTTAGTGTCATGAAGAATTTCAAAGAACTTTTCGTACATCATGTTGTAGGTGGATGGTGCAAGAAGTTGATCAGAAAACTTAAATTGTGCTATGACCAGACCGACAATGAATGCATCTGCGTGTTCGCCACTGAATGGAATTTATTTTTAATTATTAAAACTAATTTTAATTTAATTTCATTTTCAACTTACCGATCAATGACATAAGATTTGAGATTTTCTAAAAGATGCTTCGCAACTTCGTCTTTTAATCCGACAACCGCTAGGAAACATTGAATGAGAGATGTTTGACTTGTATATGTTCTATGTGATTCCTTCATTATCAATCCAGAGAGGAATTTCTGTGCAACTTTAATGGAATCTTCTTTGAGACTGAAAGTTTTCTTGAATTCATCAACGAAACGACAAACACTGCTGTTTGAGCTTTGATTAAATCCCAGTATTGAACGAAATCGACGAATAAATGAAACGGGATCATCTCCTTCTAATATAAATTCACATCCTAAAGAATAATATAACTTAAATTCTGCTCGTTGAATGATGTTGTGAAATTCACTTACCAAGATTTGTTATTTTTATTTTGGAAGAAATTAGCAGGATTTCGAAATAATTTTTTCCTCTTGCTTGATATTCTTGAGTAAGTCGAGACACTTGATGACGTTGCGAAAGAAATCTGGATTGTGAAGCAATTTGAGATGTTTCTTGATTTTGACTTGATGGAATTTCTTGATCCTGTGAACTTGGAATTATGTCAGCTTCATTTTCTTTTTCCAGTTCGTTTCGCTTCTGTGACACGTAAACTGGTTTCGATGTTGTTGGTTTGGTAACACGACGTGATTTATTGTTTCGATACATGTTTAATTTTAGTTACTTTTAAAAATTTGTGTACAATAATAAACAATTTTGATGAAATTTGCGCGCTTTTTCGGTCGGATCAATTTGTTCCGACAATCGTCTTTATCCGAAAGAATATCAGCGTAATCCGTGAGAGGTATCAGTTTTGAGAGAGAAATAAGAGAGAGTTTTGTTTACGTTTCATAGAAAAAAAACAACAAATTGTTAAGCGTATCAGAAAAATAATGATTAAGATTTAGCAACGTTTTAAAAAAGAAAATTTTAAAAAGAATTAACCACAATGAATCTAGGAGGATCAATTAAGATAAATAAATGTGCCATTTTAAGTCTTATCGCTTTTATTGTGCTTTTAATCTACATTTTTTCACCATCATCAAATTCAATTGACGTTCCTAAAAGCCAGCAAATAAATTTACATAAGCTTGTGATTGGATTAATATTAGCTGCAAAGTCAGGTGGAAAAGAAATTATAAATATATCAAAATTAGCAGATTTCGATGAGAGGAGTAAAGGAAAAACAAAAGAAGGTGCAAATGATCCAGTGACGGCTGCTGATGTTTCATCGCATTGCACAATAGCTAATGGCTTATTACGCATTTTTCCTTCATTGGAAATGGTATCAGAAGAAGATGTAAAAGAGAAAAATTGTCCTGAAAGGCACGAAACATTTGATCTCGATCCATCAGTTCTATCATCAGTCAAGTTACCAAATGTCAACATTCCCATTGATGACGTCACAATCTGGATTGATCCTCTTGACGCAACGAAAGAATTCACTGAAAAACTATTTCATTACGTATCAGTAATGATTTGTGTAGCTGTGAGAGGCGAACCTGTCATTGGAGTCGTTCATTTTCCTTTTAGTGACACAACTTTCTGGGCCTGGAGTGGTATTGGAGTTTCCGAGAATTTACCAAATATCAAAGGAGTAATTTAATTAATTTAAAGCCTTTTAAACAATCTTCTAATAATTTTATCTTACAAAAATAGGACCACGGCACTGTAAAATCACCAATCGTGATTGTATCGCGAAGTCACTCTGGAGATGTTCAAGAACTTGCAAAGAAAATGTACGGAGAACGTGTCAAAGTTATCAGCGCAGCTGGTTCCGGCTATAAAATCATTCAAGTTTTAACTGGCAACGCGACTGTTTATCTTCACAACACACACATCAAAAAATGGGATCTTTGTGCAGGAAACGCTCTCGTTAGTGCTGTTGGTGGTCGAATGACGACATTGAAAAGTGAAAGCATATCTTACGGTCCCGAATCAGCTCGTCTTGTCGAAGACGGACTTTTGGTTGAATTAAATAAAAATGTGATTATTTAAATTTGCAAATTAAAAACTCTCATTTTATTTCATTTAATGAACTTTTCCATTATTATTATCATCATTATCATCAAAAGCATTCAAATCCGCCGCTTTGTCAGACTCTTTCAGCAATGGCAAGTCAATAGCAAAACATTTGCAATTGCAACACGTAACGGGACATTCGGTGTGTGTTTTAAACCATTCCGCAAGATGCTCTGTGTGACCGCCATGACGACATGTTTGACACCATGAAAACCATTTTTGAAATGGCTTCGACTTGATGCCAGCGGGATTATAAAAACTTGAAGTTGTTGTCGTTCCCATGTGAAGTAAGCACAATGAACAACGTGGCAGTGGCTTACGACAATTTGGACACGACGAAAGTTTATTTCCTTGTGTTTGATTCCTTAATCGTGCATCTTCTTGAAGTGTCGCTGACACGGACTTACCACAAAATGAACACAACAAAAAAACAGCTTTTGGTGACTTTGGTGATGTTTTCATTGATGTTTGAATGGAAATATCGAAGGCAGCGCGCTTCTCCCACATCTGCCAAATATTCATCATGTTTCTTAAGCTCATAATCCAAGATTGTATTCGATTATCAGTTTGTAAGTCAGCTGGCATAATTTTCGCTCCTATCAATGCAGCTGTTTGAACATCATCAGTTCGATCGACAAATGCTTGTAAAAGTTGAATTCCATCGAGCGTCGCTCCAGTTATTAAAAGACCGTTCAAGTCACCTTTGTCAATGGAATGTAAAATCATAACTTTGACATACTCCGAAAGTTGTCGATCATTAAGAAAAGTACAAGCAAAGGCCATTCGATCACTTATTGCAATTCCATCTTCATAAAGAATTCCTGAGTAAGTTTCATCAGAAAGAAAATTGAAAATTCCTCTCAAATGTGGATCTTGAATCTGTTTCTGAGCTGCTGCACATTGAGCTTTCCATATTCCACTACTGCAACCAGATAAAGCAATTGCTGACATTCTTAAGGAACTTTTCTCATCGTCCATCTCATTAGCACCACGTCCCAATATATCAATCGCCATTCGTAGTCTTAAATGAAACACCGCAAGCATTGCAGCTCTCGTGAACTTCTTTTTCTTACACAAATCATCGATGCAAGTAAAGAGATTCGTATTCAAATCACCTTTTCTGAATGTCCAACCGCAAAGTTCTTGCGCAAAGTCACGTTCTTCACTTCGATAAAGTCGAATACTTCCACTGGTTGGAAAATCATTGAACGTTTTAATCTCTTGAATTGATTGCGCAATTGTAAGTTCGTCGCTGTTGGGAACAATTCCGAGAATTGTCCTCAAGCCAATAAAGCAATCAGCTTTTTGCATTTGTCCAAGAAGACGCCAAACACGTTGCAACGACACATCCATGCATGTCTTTGCATTCTTTTCCAACTCTTGACATTGGCCATAATCTTGCATGATTCGCTGTTGAAAAAGTTCTTCTAAATCGCCGCCATCCATGAATGCACCGCCATTCGGATACCAAGAATTTGTCGAGTCTGTTGGCGTTGATGGTGGTGAAATTATTGGAATTTCTTTTATTTCATCAGAAGTTGGTGTCCAAAGTTTATTCCATTTATCAAAAGTCGCAATTGTTCGATCGGGAACTTGAAATTCCATCAATAAAAGTGAGTTGTTGGAATTAGTTGCAGCTGTTAACAAGAAATTTGACTTTTGTGGATGCCAACAAACGTTATCTAAAGTCGTCGTCTTTTCACACAATTGCAAGCGATCTTTCTTATCGATGATGTCGAAAGGCGCGACAGTTCGTTTGATAAAATGCGCTCCATCTTCAACACCGTCAGTGCCTGTCCAATGTATGTCAATGACATTCATCGTCTTTGAAGAATCCTTTTGAAGGCACATGAGATTATTGGACATTGTTGGACACCAAGAAATTTGTGCTATGTGATTTTGAAGTTGAAAATGATTGATTGGCTCATTAAATTTACGTAAATCGAATAAGTTGACGACGTTGTCGAAGTAACTGGCAAGATATCGACCATTTGGTGAAATATTGACACCATTGACAGCTCTCGTGTTAGTCATTGTCGCTGTTGGATTTTGACGTAAATCGAACATTTTTATGTATTTTTGGCTCATTCCAGCAATGAGTCGCTTTCGATCCCAACACATTGAATGAGCTGTTTCTGAGAGGCCAATAAGGTTCACAATGGACGATTCCGATGGAATTCCTTTCCCAACATCCCAAACCGTGATGCAATGGTCACATTTGTTCTTCTCAAAGCCCATCGAAAGGAGATTTGGTTCCTGGATGTTCCATGCTAACGCTAGACATGGTCGATTTTGTCTTGGTGCTGGAATAGTAAAACATTTATTGTTATTCTTTCAATTAACTAACAAATTAACTTACTAAACTCCAGATAATTATCAGATGTTGGATTAAAATTAATTATAGAAACTTTTCCTGATGCTTCACCACAAGCTACGAGCAACTCATCTGAATGATATGATGGTGTGACACATTTAATGAATTGATAACGTTTTTCATTATTGAGAAAGTTGATTGAAGTGTCGAATTGACTTATAAACTTTATGTTATCTGAAATGAAACTAATTTCATGTTTTTTGTTTTCATAAAATTAAAACTTTTATCACTTACTTGCATTTTGAACTCGTGGAGAATTACAAATGAATTCTGCTTCGTGTGTCTTTTCTTTTAGCTCATAAATAGATATTTCTGAGCTTCCACAAACAACGAATTTATCTGAATTATTAGAATTAAAGAAATTTAGCATTTTTATCAACTGATAATTTCATTGACTGAGAATTGTGTTGTGCTAAGTGCAGAAACTGTTTGAACTTGTTTTCTTCTTGTTCCGTAATAGTGAACAGCTGATATTTGTCCACAACTTACTGCTAAAATATCAAAGAAGTGAAAATATTGATTTTCAAGTTTTTCAAGAGCTTTCAGATATTTTTCTCGGATAAAAAAACTTTCATCGAAGTGAAAAGTGAGACTCAATTCCATATTCAATTTTATAATTTCTTTAGAATTTCATTTATTGATGTTAATTACAATGATGAATCATCGATAACATTTTTTTTATATTTTTATTATATTCTTAAATTTTAAGTGAATTAACATCAATTATAAACTTCAAATGGTCTATATTTAAGGATTTTAATTACTTGCTATAAATGTAATTTGTTAAAGACCTTAAGTTGTTTCTAAAATTGTTTCTTTTACGCATTAGTAAAATTTTAATAGAATTCGGTCAATAAAAAGCAGAATTTAATTAACTTTTCATACTTAATTATCATTTTAGTTTCAACTATGACAACTGCTCCATATAGCTATGGATACATCTTCAAGTATATCATCATAGGTTTGTACAAAAATTGATATTTAAACAAACTTTCTATTAATTTTTATAAAAAAATCTTTAAAGGTGACATGGGAGTTGGAAAATCATGTCTTCTTCATCAATTTACGGAGAAGAAGTTCATGGCTTCATGTCCACATACAATTGGTGTCGAGTTTGGTACGAGAATCATCGAAGTAGACAAACAAAAGATTAAACTTCAGATTTGGGATGTGAGTAAGAAAATTTTTTCCTAAAGATAAAAAAATTAAAAGTTTTGAATCTTCAGACTGCTGGTCAGGAACGATTCAGAGCTGTTACTCGCTCGTATTATCGTGGAGCTGCAGGATGTTTGATGGTTTACGACATCACAAGACGTTCCACTTACAACCATCTCAGCTCATGGTTGACAGACACAAAAAATCTAACAAATCCATCAACAGTGATATTCTTAATTGGTAACAAGGGCGACTTAGAGTCGACACGTGAAGTCACATACGAAGAAGCAAAAAAGTTTGCTGATGAGAATGGTCTGATGTTTGCTGAAACCAGTGCGATGACTGGGCAGAATGTTGAAGAAGCTTTTCTTGAAACAGCAAGAAAAATCTATCAGAGTGTGCAAGATGGTCGTCTGGATTTGAATTCAGCAGAAAGTGGAGTGCAACAGAAGCAGCCCCAAGGTCTGCAAGGCAGAGCTTCACTCAGTGATGATACTCAGAACAATAAAGAAAACTGCTCGTGTTAATAATGTTAAGGAAGAAAGAATTGCATTGAAGAATTTCTTATCATAGCATGAAAATATTTTTAAGATTATAATTACCAAATCTGTTAACCGAATATTATTCTTTTGTATGAATGAATTGAAGTTAGCTAAAGCAATTTCAACTCTAAATTAATTTCTTTTCTTCAGTATTTTTTATATTCTTGCACTCGCTCACTACATGATTTGGTGTTAAGGGATCTTCGTTATAAATTAAAAATATTCACAATTTATAGATTATTTAGAAACTTGAAAACACTCTAAGAATAGAAAGAAATTTATTTTTATAATTTAAAAGAAGTTTAATTGAAATTTATTTCCTTCAACTCGACTCAATCGTCCAATGTTCGATGACAGTGAGAAAACATAAATATAAACATCAAAATAATATAAAAATATTTAATCAAATTTAAAAATTAACTTTAAGGCAAAGTAGAAAATGTTGGAAAATTTATTTTTGTCTTTATTATGTAAATTTAGATGATTCAACTGATATCTTTCCAAACATCCTGTTTCAATATGAACGATTAACTGAGATGATTCAAACCGAACAATGACAATGACAAAATGTTTGAAAAAAGCTTAAAACTTTATTGATTTTGTGTCAAAAAGGCTCTTTCATCTTTGTATTCACATTTCATAAAGAATATTTACTTTCTGTGGAATAAAACTTCTTGAAATATTTAAGAATATTGAAACAATTTTATTCTTTGGATTTGAAATTAACAAAAATTCATGAAAATATGTGAAAAAAAAATAAGGAAATTAATCTCGACGAAGTTTTGTGTTAAGTGAAGCTTCGGCTAAGGATTTTATTGCCAATCTTGCTTGTCGCTTGGGCCGTCCTGTGGATCTTCGAGGTTCCTCAGCTTTCTCTTTTTTCGGCTTTTTCTGTTGCTTCTTCTGTGGCTTTTTCTTAACTTGAGGAGATTTTTTCTTCTTCACAGGATTTGTATTCTCATCAGTGGTTTCCTCTCCTGAAGCTTCACCAAAGTCTTCGGTTTGATGTCTTGTGTTCGTAATATTTGATGATAAACCAGCCGTGTAAATTTCTCTGATTGATCTGTTAATGTCAATGTGGAACAGATCAACTGTCAACTTCATTTGTTTAATTCTATCAATCGCTGAACTGTTGAGGGATTTATCTAATTCTAATTGATTAGAAGAATTTGGTGAAACATTAATTGAATCTTCAGCTGGATTTGATAAAACGGAAGGGCTGGCCATTGTACATGATGTGACAAAAGGTGCGATGGGAGATTTGGCAGCACGTAATGGTGTTATGAATTCATTGCAAATTACTGTTTTTGGTAATTCTTTATGCTGATTTCTATTTAAAGGAGTTGATGAAATTAAAGATTCTGATGAGAATCTCGATGTCGACTCTTCACATATTGTATTTAATAAGTTTGTACGATCTGTGTTGACTGGTTTATTAGAACGACTTATAGGTTTAAAAATTAATCCATTATTTTCTTTTGGTGGTTGATTTGGAAGTTCTAATACTAGATTCGACATCTCAGCAATCTGAATCATTGAATTTCTATTGCTATTATTAAAATTTAATGCACAATGAAAAAAAATTCTCACCTGTGATATTTGTTTCATGTATTCCTCATGATTTGTTAAGATTAGTTTATTAAGCTTTATTATTCCTGTTTTGAGTTGAACTAATCTGGTTTTTTCATTCATTAATTCCGTTGTTAAATTTGTTATTGTATTATTGGCGACATTCAATTGCATTTTATATTCTTGAGCTTTATTTGACACTTCTTTGTTTAATTCTTGATAAGCCTTTAAGTGTGTTTTCAACATTTCATTTTCTTCTTTGTAATTGATGGACGAATCACTTGGTGAATCCATTTTTACCTACTTTTAGAAAAATTTAATAAATAAATTTGTTCGTTTCTTTTGGTTTGAAAATGAGTCGGTTAAAACGTACGTCATAGAGTTTACTCAATTACGCCGGTTAATCCATGGGATTCCGACTTGCGTGGATTTGACCTCCCATTCAAAGTGGCCAAAAAAATTTAGGTATTTTTCATACAAAGTGGACTACCAAAAAATTTGTCCGGGTGAGATAATCGTCCGGGTGTGATAATTACACTCTCCACCTGAAACTAGACTTTGGGGAGACAAGTTTCAGGTGAAGAGAAGTTCACTTGTTCCACTATAATTCTTATAAGACTTTACATCAGTAAAAGTTTATTTATGTTTTTACAGTAAAAAATTATTTTATATTAGAGAACATGTTAAGCAGAATAGTTAATTTAAGTGCGAGAAATGGCTTCAACTCATCAATTCGTAACATGACAAGAAAAGTCAACTCGAATAAATTGACATCTTATAAGAAATCATTAATTTTTTTGAGCAGTTTTGGATCATTGTCATGTTATGACTACTTTCTCAGAGATGGGGAATCTCTTGGTGCAGCTTTAAGGTTTTGTCGTAGTCTTAAAATAGCTTTAACTATTTCTTTAGATTACAATATAGGACTCTATGGGCTAGACGAAAATTCAGAACAATATGACAAGGTCAGACCACAAATAAATTGATAAGATTGTGGAAATGACATATCAAAATATATTTCAGACGATCAAAGAAATTCATCAAAGATCGGCAAATCGTTTGTTGGAAGGATGTCTACATAATGGCGGATTATACATTAAATTCGGTCAAGGATTATCAGCAATCAACCACATTTTGCCTGTGCAATATACAGAAACATTGAAGCAGCTTGAAGACACTTGTTTGAAGCGGAAAAAAGGCGAAGTTGATCAGGTTTTCAAGGAAGATTTCGGAGAAACAGCTGACAAAATATTTGCTGAGTTCAATTATAATCCAATCGCAGCTGCTTCACTCGCTCAAGTGTTTCAGGCGAAGACTAAAAATGGTGAAGACGTTGCAGTTAAAGTGCAATATATCGACCTTCAGAAAAGATTTCGAAGTGATGTCTACACGATTTTATTCTTGCAAGATATGATAGCTTTTGTTCATAAGAATTATAATTTCGGTTGGATTCTTCGTGACTTACGTCGCAGCTTAGAAATGGAATTAGATTTTGTTAATGAAGCTAAAAATGCAGAACGTTGTGCTCAAGATTTGAAACATTTCGAGTTCATTCACATTCCAAAAGTCTTCCATGAACTCACAGGAACACGAATTTTAACTGCCGAATATATCAAAAATGCTTGTAAAATTAGCGACATTGCATCGCTTAAGAAAATGAAAATTAACATCAAAGACATTGATAAGAAACTTTTCGAAGTGTTTGCTTATCAAATCTTCAACACCGGATTTGTTCATGCTGATCCTCATCCAGGCAATGTTTTTGTGAGACGAGACAAACTTGGTGCTGTTCAATTAGTGCTTTTAGATCACGGACTTTATGAAGATGTTCCAATGAATATAAGAAATAATTTGAGTCGATTTTGGGAGGCGATTGTGCTTCGTGATTATGAAATGATGAAAATTTACAGTGATAAGCTTCAAGTGTCGGATCATAAACGATTTGCTGAGATTCTTCTTCAGAAACCACTTGACGTTAACAAATTTAGTTTCGCAACACGATACACGGAAGAAGAAGTTTTGTTTATGAAGAAACTTGCATCGAAACATTTTGATATCATCATGAAAGTGCTCAAAGAAATGCCACGAACTTTAATTTTTATCGTCAGGAATTTAAACATCGTTAGAGCGATCGCTAAAGATCACGGAGATCTTGTTGATCGTCCAAAGATTATGGCACGTTGTGCGATTTCAAATCTCTTCAAATCTGGTGGAAATTTCCTCACAACATTCACAAGAAAAATTTACTTTGAATTTCGCCTTTGGAAGCTTTTCATGCAATATTGGATGATGAGAAATTATTTAAAACTTTTGGAATTCGTTGGACGAGCTCCAGAAAACACTTCAGCGATATTGAATTTTGAATTTGAGGGAAACTAAATTAGTTGAAGAGACAAAATATATTTAAAAGAGGTTTAAACACTGAAAGAAATTTTATAAAAATATTTAAGGAAATAAAGATTTTTGTACTGTTGTAAAATGATTTTTGTGATGCATTTATTAAAAAATTTTAGGTACATTAATGGCATTTTATAACTCAGAGTTTCTTTATGCAAAATTCCGTTCTTGTTTTAACTCAGCCTTGCAACGCACGAATGATGTAACTTCCAACATCAAATGGCAACTCTCCACATCGATAATAATCAAGAACTCCTCTGATATCTCGCAAAAATATGGTTTTAAATTCATGATTGAGGTAATGATTCTGTCTGTTATTCATTCTATGTAGAGGAAGACTTCGAAACAATCTGAAATGGAATTGCAGTGGATTATCTCCATTTGATGGCATCACATCACCATAACCAAGGAATTCTGTCCTCAAACTCGAATAAAAAATGATAAAGATTTGCAATGTGCCCTGAGAAATGAAATTAATTAATAAATTTAAATTAAATGTCGTGAAATTTTACCATTTTTGGTTGATAAAGTTCTTCCTTCAACCACGGATTCAATTCCAGCAATTCAACGTCAAACATAAGTCTCGATGCCAAATCTCTAAGCTTTTCATAATCGTTAACTTCCAAAATAAAGAAAATTTGACATTTATTCGGTATTTGGAATCTTGGGTGTGGTTTTGAAAGTGAATTGAAGTTGTTGTTGTTTGATCGACCAGTTGCGATGTTTCCTTTCTTATTATTCGACGAAGTAGAAGGAAATGAAGTTCGTGATGTTTGATTATTTCTTCTTGATGGTCCCGCAACATTTTCATTATAAAATGTCGTTCGTTTTGTCGATGAATTATTATTTGCAGCCTGATTTGATCGCCATGACGGCTGATTTCCTTTCTTTTCTATTTCTTCTGGTGAATCAACATGAAATTCACATGGAGGGAATCCTGAATGATTTTCTTCTGTTACAAGAATTTTTGTTATCATTGCAATCAATTTTTTGTCAGCATTTTGACAGTTGAAATTTCGTTCTGTAAGAATTCTCAGAACAAGATCGTCAAGTCGTTCTCTCATTTCAAGAAGAAGTTTTCCAACTTTCACATCCATCGAAAACGACACTAAATTGTCGATTTTGATAAGAAAAGATTCGTGATTGCTTTCTTCTTCCCATCCATTACTCTCGATTGCTGTTGTTAATGAAGCACCGGCAGTAAATAATAAATGGAAGCTGTTAATTATCGTATTATTCCGAATCATTGCAATTCTTCCAATTCGATTTTTTTCTTCAAAGACAACCCAATCAGATGGAAGTGTCTTTAAGAAATCCATCGCTCGATTACCTCTCGTAGTTAAAGTGCTACTCATATGGAAAACCAGCTTCTTATCAATGTCGCTGTACATCATTTTCCTTTGACGATCAATCCTTGCTACATTTGGATATAAACCAGCGCAAAGACATGACCGAATCACTGGCCATTTTTGAGAATTTCCATTCAACCAATGTTGGTTTGAATTGATCAATCCCGCAGCTTTAAGATGTGAATAAATTTGTGAACAAATCGGATTTATAAAATTATCTTGACAAAATCTTCGCGTGTTTTGGTTTTTTGAACGAAGTAGGTAGAAATTTAAAAAGATTTTCGCCATCATGAAATGATCGCTTAATGAATTTCCACCATAATTTCTTTTCACTTGATCACATTTAATTCGTTCATCAGCTCGTGTTGGTAGAACAAATAATTGATCGCCTGATGACATCACAGCGACGACATCCAAAACTGGATCCAAATATCTTAGAACAATTGAATAAATGATCATTTTGCCATATCTCGCATCAATCGGCATTTCTGCCAAATATGAGCCAAGAATTGTTAAATTTTCATTCTCATCGAGAGCTCCAAGACATTTCAAAAGTTTTATGCTTTGTCTTATGCTTAGAACTGACGGAGTTGCGATGCATTTCAACAGAAATTCTTCAATACTCATCGTGTTGTTGATAATAAGTTTTGATTGCAAACAAATCTCAGTGAGTGATGTTCGAAGTAGTTGAGGAATTGTCGAGTCAAGCATTGAATTGAAACGATCAATTGAATACATTCGAAACACGATTCCTTCATGTACTCTTCCAGCTCTTCCTTTACGTTGATTCGCCGATGCTTTGCTTATCCATTGAACACTTAAACTTGATGAATGTGAAATGGCGTCATAAGATTTTTGCTTTTCACGTCCACTGTCAATGACAAAGACGACATCGTTGATAGTTATCGAAGATTCAGCAATGTTTGTTGACAAAATTATTTTACGTTTCCATTTGTCAACCGGCTTTAAGACTTTCTTTTGATCTTCCGTCTTCATACTCGAATGAAGCATAAACAATTCAAAGGGTTTTGATAATCTTTGATTAATTAAATTCGCTTGTTGTAAGATGTCATCATAACCAGGAAGAAACACAAGAATTGCTCCATCAACTTCAGTTTCGTTTTGAATCTGATCGATGAGTTGAAAAATTAGTTCATGATCGATTCCTTCTTTGATTATAAAACTATTTGTCTTTGATTTGTAAATTGTGTCATAATAAATGTTGAGCAATGCTTTATTTAAAGCTGTTAAATTTTTTTTCTGTATGTCGAAAGTTCACTGGTAAATTCTCAGCTTGTACGAGATGCTTGAACTGATCAATTCCACTTTCAATATCTTCACTTTCAATCAAATCATCGAGAACTTCGTTTAGGAAATTGACGTCGTCATCATCCAGAACTTCTTGAATCACATCATCACAATTTACATAAGCACTTCTGGAAACTTCAATTGGTTGTCCACTCCTCAGCTTTTCATTCAATTCATCAACTTTCGGATGACTAAACTTCACTTGCTTCAAAATATCTTCCAAATAAACTTCCTTCACTAGAAATTGTTGAACAAAAATGGAAATCTTTCGACAATCACCAAAATAATCTTCAAACACTTCCGTATCCATTGTCGCTGACATGATGATGAGTTTCAGATTTGGATTCAAATGAAAGTTTTCCTTGATTGAAGTTAAGAGAAAATCATTTTCCTTCGCTCGTTCATGAGCTTCATCGATGATGACATGAGTGATGTTGTTGAAAAGTGAGTGGGGATTGTCATACATGAGATAACGACAGAACACTCCTGGCGTTAGGAAAATGCAATTTGTGTCTTGTGAAATGTTTGATTCCAAACGAATCTGAAAGCCGACTGTTTTGCCGCAACTTTGTTTACGTTCATAAGAAACTCGTTCAGCACTTGCAATGGCTGAAATTCTTCTCGGCTGTGTGCATAAAATACGACATGGCTGACTGTTATCTTTAGCATGCTCAAGGATATATTGAGGAATTTGTGTTGTTTTTCCAGATCCTGTCGATCCCTCAATCAAAACAATTCGATTGCTTCCAATTGCCTTCAATATCTCATCACGATACGGAAATATTGGCAAACTTTCTCGAGTTTTCTTTAAAGCGCTTGTGATTTCTTCCGACAAAGGTACAAGAGATGGAGGCTTTGAGAGAATGAAAGACTTTGATTTGTTTCTTACGATCTCCGGTCTTGAGGCAACGCAATTTTCCTTAGAAAATGTAAATTCTCTTGTAAGATTCTCCATGATAGTCACTGTTTCTTCATTAACTTTAATTTCAACACTGCTATTCATGAATTGTCCATTTTCTGTGAGTTTGTAGAGTGAAAGTCTTCGATTGTCCGCTAAAGTTCAAAAAGAAGTTGAGAGGAATTTAATTCACAAATTCGTCCAATGATTACTCACCACGTCCGTCGGATTTGGTTCGTAGACTATATTTTGGTGCCAATTTATGCACGAAAGCTCTCTCAGCATTTGATAATGTAGCTGGAAACTCGTAAACCATTTGATCATCATTGTTGAGAAAAGCTTTGATAGCTTCTTCGATTTTAATTCTGAAATCAGCATCGATTCTGGAAGCATTTGAAGTTTTCTTATTTTCCTTATTTTTATCTTTCTTGGAAAACTTGTTTTTATCCATTTTTAATCGTATTTTGCTTGTTTTTCAATAATTTCATTAAAATTTTTCAAAGTTTGTTTTGATTGTTTTGTTTGCGACTAACATGCGAATACATGCGGAAAAACATACGAATTGTTGATTTTGAAAATAAAATTCCGTTACACAACGGAGTAGATAGAAAATTTTTAAAATTTAGAAATTTTCACTACTTGCCCTTGACATGTCAAATTAACCCTGCGTAGAACTTCTAAAAAGAACACTTTCTCAGGAGGTCACGTGTAAAAATTAAATTGAATTTAATTAAATTATTTTTGAAGTATTAATATACCAAGAATATCATTAAAAATGGAAGGTGATGCAGGTAAAGTATTTAAATGTCCTATTATGCAATATAATTTTAAAATTCCTTTTCGCAACAGATCCAACCTTACTTGAAAATATTCCCGAACCAGATTGGGATTATATAATTTCACAAGATTTGATGCTATCAGATAACTTGCCTCTACCTGAACTAAATTCAAATGGTATTGAATCATATTTTACAAGTTTGTCATCACATGACTTTAGCGAAATCGGCATATTTACACATTCAGAAGAAATCATTTCACACGATTATGAAATTCCTGAAATTGTTTCACATGATTTTATTGGAAATGGCGTCCCGATAGTTTCGTCAAGTACTACTGATGAAGAGAACTCGAAAGAAGATTCAAACTTATTGCTTATTACCATACCAGAGCATTTACAAACATCGCAAGTTTTCGAATCTTTTCCTTCAGCTCACTTAAATTCCCAATTGATCCAAAAGATTTCAAATTCATCCTATGGACATGATGGCGTTTTTTTACAGAAATCGAAAAAGATGTCAACTGAGTCAGAGTTCACAAGATGCACGCCACTTCATGTTATTCAGGAGAAGATTCCAATGAAAAAATCGAAGACAACTGAAACTAAACCTTGTCTTGGTGATAAAAATAATTCTGGGAGACGAAAGCAAAGTTTTCAGCTGACAAGAGAAGATGGAATCGTTTTCTACGATGTTCCAAATGTGGGAACACCACAAAGACACGAGCGTCATATGCCGAGAGTTCTTGACGACTCATTCATTTGGATTAACCCTGGAGAAATATCTGATGAACCAAAATCACCATCATCATCAACTTCTCAAAACAGTGTTCAATGTTCAAAATGTGATGGCGTTTTCAAAAATGTATCTGAACATGTCTGCAAGAAAGAAAACGAAATTATACAAGAATCAGATGACATTTCTCCAGTCGTTGTCGATGTTTTAGAAAACGTCACTGAAACCAAACTCTTCAAATGCTCGATTTGTATGGAATCATTCGAGGAAGGCGAAAGTCTTAAAACACATTTAGATCAACATGCAAATGGTCATCGTTTTCAATGTGAAATATGCAAGAAAAAAACTTATAAGCTTCATAAAAATCTTAAGGCCCATCAAAAGTACTGCTCACGAAGAACAGAAGAAGCCAAATCAGATTCAGACAGTCCTGAAACAACCCCACGAAAAATTATCACCCGTTCATCCTTGAAGTTAAAAACAAAGTTGAAAAATACGTAGAAATCAAGATAAAACCTTTTTTTCTAAAATGTGATTATATTTAATGAAACATTGAATCAAATCTATATAAAATAAATAAAATAAACCAACCAAATGTGTTGGTGAGATGAACACTTTGCATAACATTTTTATTTATTTTTAAAGAACCGACGGCGACGCTGATGAATTCTTGAATTCAAGTCAACGTTGACGTAACGTAGGCAACCTTTTTCTTAATTTCCTGGAAATAAAATATTTTAATTAATCAAAATGAAGAAAATTCTTCTATCAAAGCCAACTATGTTTTTTATTCAAAATCTTATTTAGTTTTCTCTAAGGAAAAGAAGGACAACACATTTACAAACATACACTGACTCAAGTAATGACTCAATTAATGTAATAATTCGAGACGATAAATAAATAAATCTATGAACATAATGATGAATGAGAGGCCTTTAAAAATAAATTAAAACTACGAAATAAAAAAAGCGAATCTTATGAAACCAAATTAACTAGAGAATCAATGGACACAGCAATTTATAATGATGATGACGATCGTCGTTGAACACTGAACAAACTTATCCAAAATTCTCGAAATGATGAATGAAATAAGGCAGTTTACGTCCTTTATTGACTTCATCACATGCTGACATGACACTTTTGGTGAGTGGTCTGGGACCACATGAGAAGACACCAATCTTTGACACCTTTTGAAAAATTGAAAAGAAAGAAAATTTTATAAACTTTACTTAAAACAAAATTTTAATTTGACTTACATAAGAATGCTTCTTTTGTACAAATTTTAAGAAACTGGACATGTCAGGTCGTCCAAAATGATTGACTGCCTTTAGTCCCGTAAACATTGATGTCTTTGACAGTCTCTGGAAGTGATTCTCACAAATATACTGTTGAAAGAAATTTAAAGTTGAAGTTTAAAAGAAAAATTGAAAAGAAACTTCATTCAACTCACCAACATTGTCGTGCGCAAATCAAACTTGTGGAAGAATTGCGTGATGAAAATATGAATTTCTAGCACGTTTGTGACGTCTTTCTTCTCAACATCTCGCAACACATCGATGAACCACTCAAAATGTTTATGCGATGGACAAATCCATAAGAAGTAAACTTTTTTACAAGCAACACCAGAGTACCGGTTTGTGCTAGTTCCAAAAACTAAATCATTTAAGATTGATGCATAAGGCGTCACACCAATTCCACCACCAACCATGACAGCAACTTCAAACTTGTACCAATCTTGATTTCCACCACCGTAAGGTCCTTCTATACGAATGCGAGGTTGATCATCGGGATTATAATTGCAGGGATCGAAATAATTTCTCAATTTCCATGTCCATGGACCTTGCGCTTTAATATGACAGCTCAAAAAATTCTCATGTGGCGCTGACGTGAGAGTGAAGCTATGCATCTCTTCCGGCTTAATAGCTGTACATGAAAACCTCACCCATTGACCCGAAAGATATTTTAAATTTGGTGGTCGATAGAATTTAATCTTTATGACATCAGATGGTAAAAGTTCAGCTTCCATAACATCTAATGCCATATATTTAGTTCGTAATGACACAACTTTATCTAATGTGAAGATGACAGCTGGCCCAATGAAGAACATCCAGAAACGTGGCGCACCAGTTAGTCTTGCAAGACCATGAAGCAAACAAAGAATGTAAAGAACGATGTAAAGTGAATGTGCATTCCAAAAGTATTTATAAGCACGTTTTCGAATTGTTGGATGAGCGAAAGCAAAAATGATGCACATAATAACAAAGAGAGCGATTCCTGTCACTCCCGTTAACGTTTGAAACAACCAATAATTTATATCAGGTTTGTAATCAGATGCAAAATGAACTTCTTTTGTTAAACATCTTAAATTCTCATGAGATTGCGTCGACACATGATAAAAGTTTACAATATGACCAACAGTATGAAGCATTGAGAAGAAAAGTGCGGTGCAAGCAGCAATCTTATGGAACTGAATGTGAGAATCCAATGGAATGTATTGCTGGATAGGAAACTCTTTAAGTTTCGTTAAAAAGTTTCTCGACATTGTTAAAAGAAGCAACGAATAGCAAAAAGAAAGTGAAGCAGCTGATCCTCTTGTAATTGCAATTCCAACTCCCATAATGTGACGTAAGTCGGTATGTTCAGCCATGAATGAATAATCTGAAAAATTATTATTTAATTAAAGTATTTTCCTTTGTATTGTAATTTTCAACTTACGAATGAATCTTTCAACAAACAGCGCAATTGTGATGACATAAAATAAGAAAAGATAGAAAATATTCTGTCGATTTTCTTCCAAGAATGTTGTGTAAGCATCCCACTTCTCTGAGATCCAATTTCTTTCCGAATCATTAATAGGTTCGATTGCAAATGAAGTCATACGTGCAACGTTTGTTGATGTGTCGAGAAAGTTTTGTTTTGCACCTTTGCAATCTAAACCAATAGCAACAAATTCCCCTTTATATTCTTTCATCATTTGTTTGAAATCTTGATAAGTTAAATGATTTTTATGTTCAAGACCAACATCAGAGAACATTCCATCAATCAACTCCGTCACTTGATCATCGGTTAAGCTTGTCGTTCTTGCAATTTCCACCAAAGATCTCATCATTTCTCCAAATTCCGCTTTATCTATTACACCATTGCGATCATTGTCGCACATGTCGAAGATAATTCGAAGTTTATCTTCAGTTTTCCCTCGTGAAAAAAGCACAACAGTTTCAAGAAACTCTTGGAATGAAATTCTTCCATCTTGATCTTTGTCAACGATGTTAAACATTTTCCTGACAAACATCGCATCTGATTTCATGCCCAAAGCAGCAGCAAATTCTGATTTTGATAAACTTGTTCGCATCACTGTCATAACTTCCCCGTCACTCGATGCATCAGATCTTCGTCGTCTCTCACCTGGTCTAAGACCAAATGTAAGCGCATAAGCTTCACGGAAGAAATGTTCGAGTCGCTTTTGACGACGTTCACGTGTCTCCGCTCTTGCCAACATCAACTCTCGATTTTGTTCGTGAAGTGTCATTTCTTTCTTATGCAAAATAAGAAAATCTTCGAGCTTCTTTACAAACTTTCTTCGCGCGCTAGACGTCTCAAGTTCAAGCACCAAGTCATGATCATTGTGAATACGAAGCAACACTAATGGTCGCTTCTTTGTGTAGCTTTCTTGACTTAATTCAACTTGAATAATTTCCACATTTTTCAAGCTAAATGTTCGAAGCTTTTCACCTTTTCTATCGACTGTATAAATTGCTGATTCGGGACCAAATTTCACCGTCACCAAACGTTTATGATTCGCATGAAGCCATTCGCGTGCAATCATTTTATCAACTGTTTGTTTTCCAGTTTTTGTACGCATTGTCTCTTGTTTCACTTTTAATCGCCTTCGTCGTCGGTTCTGAAGTTTCACAACACAATAACCAGCAGTTGCACAAAGAATTGGCACGAAACCGAGAAACACGCAAGCATAGATGTAAGCAAGTTCTGATCCCGAAAAGTAATCGTAACCTTCGAGATGATTACAAGGTTCCAATGAAGATGTGTTAATTTGAAATTGTTGTGGACATGGATCGCCATCAACGAATTGAAAAACATTCTTTTGAATATCTTCCGGTCCAATGTCTGTGCTGTTCACAATGACGTCCCATAATTTTATTTTCTTCAAATCTTCAATTTCTTCCTTCGTAAAGATTCCATTGTCTTCATTCTCAAACCAGAATCGATCAGAATCACGAATTCTTAAAAATTGCTCAAGAATGACGGCTGTGAAAAGTTCTCCTGGTCTTCCATATGATTCCAACATTCCACCGATATAAGCATCGACGTTATCCAATCGATTCTTGTAAGCTGAAATAAGAATTTGAAGTAGTTCAGGTTTCGCTTCAAACAAGGCTGGGTTGATTTCTTTCCAATCTTTACGACGTGGGAGTTTGTAAGCTTGACGTGCTGTGTTGTAGTCAGCAAGTCCATTATCACGACCACGCATGATATTCAACGCTCCTAAATCTCTTCGACTAAACTCCATTGGACCGAAAAGTTTATCGCGAACATCTGAACATAAGAAAGGATCTTCACGTTCAGCTAATTGCGACGACATTCCCATAAGAAGTTCTTCAACACTTGAGTCTTCAAATACATCCTGAAATTAATTAAAATATTTATTTTCTTGTTTCTCTTTAACTTAAGTAAGCAACTCACACTTGAATCCCACCATGTTGAACATAATCTCAAAGCTGGAAATCCCATCGGCGTTTTTCGATATTCACAATTTGCATTTCGTCTCATAATTCCAGGTGGGATGAGTGAATGACCAAATCGAAATGCAGCTGATTGAAACATATGAGAAACGCCTGGATGTACATCAGGTTGATATCCTTTGTAAGGTTCAAGTTCGACACCGCCAAGAAATGATGGCAAATATTCATAGACGAAAATGTTTTGCATTGTCGCAATGACTAAACGACGTGCACGTTGAAAAATATCTTCATCACTCCACGATGGATTCGTTTGCTTTACACGATACGCCAACTTGTTGTGCCAACGAAGGAAAAGAATTGCAAACGAGAGAAGTGCAGGATTTTGATTTGTGCGTGGATCACCAAGAACTACAGGAAAGAATCTGATAAGTGAAGGTTTAAATAACTTGATTATGTTTTAAATACTTACGATACAATCGCTCGGGGCTTAATGCACGCATGACATGTGGCACGGGATTGTTGAAGAGCGGAACTCGCATAGTGTTTTTAACTGGCATTTTGTTGCTTCTGTCAGTCAACAACGTTCCATTCTGAAACGATCGCATTGCATTGAGCCAAGCTTCTGAAGTGCTGTAAATAAAACTTCCATCGATCCATGCTGTCATTTGATTGATCTGCAGGCGATTTGGAATATTTATTAAGTTGTGAAAAAGAAAAGAAAAGAAAAACTTGTTTCAGTTTTTTGTGTTTTCGTTTCACCTGTTCTCTTGGTGCATTTGGACTTTGTCCAGTGTTTCGATCATACATCGCTCGATGAAATGGAATATAACGATCACCACGACAGTCTTTATCATACATTTCATCACATTTTTCAATCTCAATTCGATGCATTTCGATGGGACATCCTGACTCGGACGCCATCACAATCTCGTTTGTTACGACTTGACCGAAGAAAGCTAAAAGTGCTGTTCGATTCTCCTTTGAACCAAGGCCATCTTCACCTCTCATAAACAGTCGACTAAGTTTACGAGGTGATGGACGTTCAGGACCTGCCATCCCATAAACTCCATCTGAGTAAGCTGAAGGTGCTTTTCTCGTTAGATGTGTATCTAAAGAGAATCAATTACAAAGAATATTAATCAACACAATCCGGAACAAAATGATTCTCGATATTATGAAGTCATTTCGACACATTTAACCACCCCAATTAACCGCTACGAATGACTCAGAACACTTCCGTGCTGCTTTGCTAATTTTACGCTGATTTGTTTCGGTGATCTTTAAAAATATTTGCAAAGTAATTAAAGCGGATATTTTTTTTTCTGTTCCTATCATGTATTTAATTATCCCTCGGTTTACTGTTCACTGTTGATTCTCGTAGCCGGCGTTTAACTAACAGACATCACACAACGTTGTGTCGTGACCTTCACGCTTTGCAAAAAGATAATTTCGTTTATTCATTTTTAAACTTTTTTTTATTTAATTTTGCGTGGATGTAAATGAAGATCGAGTAATCTCAAAGCGGAATCATTCTAGCGATGTAGCATTACGGAAAAATAAGTTGATCAATATTATGATTGATTTGGAATCGTCAAATCTCACGCTAGTTGTTTAGAATAGATTATTCAAATGAACAAGCTAAGTTATGAGTGAGGTAATTGAGATTATAGGAAGCTAAGAGTTTAGAAACGTAGTCAGTTGAAAGAAGTTTGCCGTGGAATTAATTTTTTGTAACAAGTTTAAATAAGTGAACGTTTTATTGTTGTTGTTAAGTTCATTTTTGAGGTTGAAATGTGCGTTGGAAAAATTTATTGAAACATTTAAAAAAAAAGTTGTGTTAAGTTAATTACAATTTAATTTTAATGAATTATTTCGTATGAAATGTTTAAAAACGGAAGTCGATCGTATCTGTTGATATCTTAAGAAATATTTGCAATCTTTTTTGACATTTATGCTGCCAATTAAAGTTTAACTTAAAACTTTTAAAAGTGACGAAATAAAGATTGTCTTTTGATTTTAATTCAGCGAATATTAAACGATGGCAGATTTGAGATGACCTGAATTTTACCGACAATTTCCGTCTTTATTGACAAGCATGATGAAATATTTGGTTCGACAAAGTAAAGCAAAAACGTTGCCATTTAATTAAAACATAAAACTTGTATCGCTTTCCATCTTTAACATGAGAACAACGCATTCATGATTCAACTAACGTTGTTTTATGTTAAGCTCTTCAATTACTTATTTATCCCTCCACGTATCTGTACGAAGAATCTTCGATAATTCTTCTCTTAGTTACATCGCATGTATTGACAAATGTTTGTTGGGAATTATTATCAATGAGCGCTATTCATGCGTCTCCGCCTCGCAGCAAGCTATCGGACTTAGCGAATTGCTTCACTTTTCAACTGCAGCATTAAATCCACTTCAATTATTTTTATCCCTTTATGTTATTCTCGTGAAAGTGAGACAATAAACACAATTTACTTCATAAATAAATGGTCTCTGCTTATTGCCAATATCATTGATAAAACTGAAATCTGATTGCATTGCCTGTTTTGTTTTTTATTTTATTTTATTTCTTCAATCATAATAAAGTTTGTAATAAAGTCTGACATTGAACTCAACTTAAAAATATACATGATAATGTCCTAAGATAAGTGAGCATTCTCATAGTTTCCTTTTCTGATTAAAATAATCAACTATCGTGCCTATGCTTGTCTGGCTGTTTGTTTTTATTTTTTATTTCTTTATTTCTTTATTTTGTTAAGTTTTGCAATGAAGCATTGAAGAAAAAAATTATTTATATCTACGATAAACATCACTCGTGACTTGATGGCGAATAAAGAGGTTGATTTTGTAATTAAAGTCAGAACTTAATTGAAGAACCTGTCGTTGTAAATCATGCTGATAGTCAGCTGTGAACGACCAGCTGCTTGCATTCATGTTGAAAGTGAATACAAATATGTTCATTAAACATTCATTGTAGATAGATAATCTTTTGAGGAAATAAGGAAATAACGTTAGAACAAAGAAGCTTTCATAACGTTTACGTCATTTTAATAATAGTTAGTTAGATATAAAAAAAATTGTTTATGATCTTGAAACCGACCATGTCTAATATAATCAACCAGTTGAATGGAAAACTGATTGTTTGACTTATCTATCAAACTGTTAACAGGTTTATGTAACAATTCGACTTGATATAAAGTATATTGACGTTAATGATGAAAGTCACTCCAATATAATAATAAACAGCTTGCAGACAATGCTAACGAGAAATTTCGAATGTTTCATTATCATAAGCATGAAAGTGTTTAAGTACACGGTGAAAGAGAATCGACGAGTGACAATGTAAAAGAGAAAAAAAGATTTAAATCACTAATTGAATTTTTTTTTGAAAAATTGAAAACTAATTAACAATTAAAATCTGGTTTAGGCTGCATATCAAAGTGAACAAAAGAGAGAACGCGACAGATTTTGACATTTCAGGTGACTCGGGGCCACATAAATAGTTAATTAACTGTACCATTATGGTCATGAAAAGAGAGTTAAAGAAAAAAAGGAAAATCAAAAGTTTACTTCTGCATATAATTATGTTTCACGGATTTAAAGTGGAACAGTGATTGCAAGCGATAGGGTTGGACGTTGAGAGATTTAAAGAAATCTTTTACCTCAGGAGTAATGGTCTGGAGTTTAGAGACCATTCAATAAATGTGAAATGACATTCACAAACAAGAGCAGGCAGCGAGCGGTAAAAGCAACTTTACAAATGATTAAATTTGGCAGTTCAACTTTAAACATCAAAGTCGTTAGATAAAATGAAATCACTTAATCGCTATTTATACTCGCCGATCGCTGCCGAATTTATATGAAATATCCAAGACCGATAATTACGATCCCGTCAATAACTAACTGAAATGTTTACGAAAAATAAAGAGCGGTAGGAAAACTTTGAAGTGAACGTCATCCACCATGATGAATGGTAAATGAATTCGTAAAGCAAACTCGAGTCGAGAGTGTAGAGAGAAGGCAGAAAAAAATGAAACATCGCAGATTCATGAACAATGAAAAGCAAACCGTCTTCTCATAACAACATTCATGTTTATGGCAGCATTTTGCACAACAATTTGCTACATGAAGAAGCTTTGCAGCATCATCGGTAATCGTTGGAAATATGCAAATATTTTAGACACTGAAATATTCAAGTAAATAAATAAATAAATAAATAGAGATATCTGAATATGAATACGTTGTCGATGTGTATGATAGCAAGTGAACTATTTAATCTCGCGTTTATAAGTAACAAAATGCATGTTCAACATCTCTTTCATTTCTCTCCACGCTTCAATGGAGTTTCATTTATGATTTATAACTCAATGAAACAGATTGAACAGTTCATTTCGATATTTCTACATTCACAAAGATATTTTTATTAGTTGCAAATTCATTTTTGAATCATTCGTAAACAGACGAAAAATAAAATAAATATGAAAATATCGTTCATTGCATTAAGAGATTCAAAGCGCCTGCATAAATATTTGCTAAGAAAACTGCCGCCTCTCATTTTGCATGCTTGTATTGCGCAAGTTGTATCGCAAATTATCATATCGCGTGAAAATTTATGATGATTAATATTGTAAATGTGGAGTGATTGAAACTGTCGACTTATTGCACCTTTCATACTTCATAACGATATAATAATTATTTACTTAAATATGTAGGTAAGTTAGAAATGAAACTAATTGTGAAGCAATTAGAAATATTTCGAGGCTACATAAATTTGTATACATAAATATGAGATGTGTGAGTGTTTGGTAATTATTTGATGATTTTCAATTTGTATCTTCATTAGCATCAATGTTACATTTCATGATGTCATCACAGCTCTTAACCAGATGTTCGTTGACTCTTCTAAACATCAATTTTATTTAAATTGAACATTTTCATGCAATTTTCAAATCTCTACACAAATCATCTCATGTGAGTTAAGTTTCAAATAACAATAAAATATTTTCACACTGTTATTATGCAAAACATGTCGAAGGCTCTTTCAGAAGTGTTTTGTTTACTTGATAATCTTCATTCTTACTTAATTTTATGCCGAAATCTGTCTTCACACTAAAGCCACTGAATGAACGTCTTTAAAGTCAAGAATCCGTAATTGATGACTCATTAATTAATTAAGTTTTAAACATTTAAGAATATTTGATAATTGATGATGAGCCCTTGACTTTGAAAAGATCAAAAAGTTCTTTCAACCCTTTCGTAATTTCTTTCAGAGCTTAAAATCTGGAATTGTTTACAATTTACTTGAAATCAAGTGGCTTGCAATTAATTGTGAGAGTTAGTTTAGTGTTTTCTTTATTCCACAGGGCATTCCAGAGAGCAAAGAATTGCCTAGAAGGGTGAAACAACAAGTTGATTATTGTGGATTATTTACGAGGTATTTGGTATCATTTGTGCATCCTTTGAGTATTTAAATGGAAAGCATTTTAGATGTAATTATATCTAAGATATTCTTTTTTCATTATCTTTCACATACATGCATTGAAAACAATTCTTTGGGTTTCCATTGTCAGCCGAGACCGAAATTAAAATTCTTTTCATACGAAAACATTTCATCTTTGAACCTAAGTAAACCGAATAATTCAAGAAGTCTCTTTGTTATGAAGCGTAAAATGCATTGAAGCAGCGACAGCAGGATTTTCAAGGTTCAGAGAAACATTAAAGTGTTGCTTAGCGATTCTCTTTTGCAACATAACTATTTATGCCAATTGTTATAACTCAAAGTGTCGGAGGTTTTTGTTTAATGTATACGAATGCATCTTGACGACGAGAAAAATGGCAAGTCATTTAAAGTTAAATTAAATGCAATTTTATTCTTATATTCATAGTTATATAACTCACCAATTGCACCCCAGTCGGGATGTGCTAAATTATTGTAGTAGCCATCGTAACGCTGTTTTTCTATTTGACTAAGAATTTTTTCTGAAATAAAAGAAGAGAGAGAGATTGTTAATTGTATAAATGTCTTCAGGGAACAAGTATGCGCGCAAATGAACTCAAATGGAATTAATGTAATCCTCGAGTATATAAAACTGTCGACAATATTTAAAATAATACATTCGACATGCAAGCGATTTAATCTCGAGAACAACAAGACAATTCTTGACGTCGTAGCTTTTGTTGGATGATTCACTTGAAAAGCTTTTAAAAACAATGTTATTCGAGTTCTTCTAAATACCCTAAAGAAGTCGTTAAAATGATTAAAATAACATCAATATCTGCTTCCTAAACAACATTAAAGCTGTATGATAGACGATACACAAAAGAAAGCAATACATTGTCATCCATTTCATTCATATTTATATTTGCGATAAAAAATTGCAAGGAAAAAATTCCGTTTCTAAATATTTCAATAAATTTATCAACAAACATTGTACTCGCTCACTCTTCACATCATATCGCTTTTTATTCCGTAATCCTCAGAAATCAACAATGAAAAACAACACGACAATGTGAATTTATTCCTTTATATTTATTTAGTGTATCCCTTGAAACGCTTTCAAATGAAAATCGCAAATGAATTACAAAAAAACACAAAAATAAAAAACGAATTGGCGTGTAAGTAATTTGATTTAAAAAAAAAAATTCGTGTGGAAACGAATCTGAATGCAAGATATTTGTTGTTTTGGATATTCACTTAGTTTGTTTGGAAGTTCATCGATTGTGCAAAAGTCCGGAACAAGGTTGAAGCTAAATTTGTAGCGAACGCGTTGTTAACATCGCTTCAAACGTTATGAAATGAGGCAGTGATTGGGGGTGGGTAAATGTAAATACATTTCAGATATTTATAAATAAAGGAAGAACAGCGAAAAGCTTCAATCGAAAACATGTTTGTTCAACTACTGACTGTACCAATAAATTCATTATTTTGTTAATCAAGTTATTATTATTTATGAGAGAAAGATTTATCGAAATGTTGGTGGTGCTTCTCAAGGCATTAAATCAAAACATGTCGCAGTCGTATGGATTTCATTAAATTTATTTTATTTATTAATCTTTCAAGGAGATAATCAAAAGTGTTTTATCAAACAACAATTATCTTCATGTTGGAATTGCGATGAATTTAAAAAAGCTTCACATTAGATTTGTTTTGAATTGTCATCGTCAAAGGCGTTGTAAAAGTGAGTATGAAACCTCTTTGTCCACAGATATTTATTGACAAGCTAGACTAAGTTGAACGTAAGATAATAAAAGGAATGAATGTGGATTTTCAAACTCAACAACTTGGGATTTAAATTTATTAAGTTTAATGATTGCATTAATTTCAATGATTCTCCATTCATAATGCAAACCCATTCAAGTTTGAATCAACAGACAAGCACTTTTGATCGAACTGAATTCATATAAATTACATTTGTAAGCCATCATGAAATTGATGTTAAAGCTTAAAGGCATGGAATTGAACTTTAATAAAAAATTATGTCGATTGTTTATCAAGAAAACCTACGGCAGCAATATCACATAAAGCCTTTGTTCACCATTCGATTGAATGAAGCTTCACATGCCCAGGTATCGCTTGCTTTTAAGTATGATAAAATTATTTATTTTCTTTCATTTCGTTTCAATGACTGGCATGAATAGCTAGACAAGAAATGTGCAAAATTGTGAAACGACATTTGTTGAAGCGCGCGCAAAACATCATTGTGAATGGGAGAACTACACAAGCTGTTAGTTTTATTAATGTACGTCCAATTAATAGATAAAATTTAACTAACAATTGCATCAAAATTGATGAAACTTTTTGTTGTTATTTGTTTGTTACTCTTGATTGAATAAATTCATTTGTTGATTGGTTTGTTGTCTGAGGTTGAAGTCATCAGTCGATTTGCTTTCAACACGGAAAAATCAATAAAATATTTTTTTTTGTGGTTTCTGCAATCACAATCAGCAATCAAATGAATTTATTTTGATTTACTTAATTAATTTTCACAATTGATAAAAATCTAGGCTTTGAATCAAAGCAATTGAATTATCACTTCTAAATATCTTTAATGAACTGAACGAACGGTCATTTAAATGAATTGAGAAGCTGATGATGATGAGGAGGTCAGCACACGGTAAGTTGGATAGAATGTCCGATAATTGAAACGATTAAGTGGGCAAAAAAAAGTAAGGCACACAATGATTAATAGTAATCAAATCTCCATTTATTTAAATTGTTATAGGTCGGAAATTTTCACAAATAATTTTTTTTCAGCAATTTTTCATTTTTTAATCGTTTCAGCATTTGACATGAACAAATTTTTCTGTGGCCCTGGCGCAGAACTTCAACATTCAATTGATATGTGTAACATTTTTGTCAGAAGATTAATTGGTTTTCTCGATGTAGACGCGAATATTTTTTTAAAAAAGTTGGCATGTTGCTACTTGAACATGGCCATAGCTGCTGTCTGTTTGCTTTTCATGTTAATGCCTTTTGGACGAAAATTTCTGTGCTAAATATTTTTTAATCTTCCAAATGGTTTGAAAATGAGGGCAGTAAGTTACAATGATTGATTTGAATTATATTTGGAAATATTGAATGCACAAAATATGAAAAAAAAGTTGATATTGAATAGAAAGTTTTTGGAAGATGAATAAATTAGCAAAATGAAAAAATTGAATAAATTACAGGTCGAATATCAATAATATCAATCATCACATCAACAATTACATCAATAATACTTCTAAAAATATCAACTGATGAATTATTCAAAGAACTCAGATGAATTTTCAAGCTTCGACATTTAATTGCATCCACCACCACCACGACTTCACTCAATTATCATTAATTGGGAAAAAGATAAAATTGCTAATGAGATAATTGAATGACATGAGTGTGAAGAGTTGAGTATGGTGATGACATGAAGTAAGCGAATATTCATGATGATTATGACGTTGATCTCATTAAAGGCACTTAAATAACATGAAAACGTTACGTCGTCGTAAACAGAACTCAAAAAGTGATTTTCAGACATTCAAAATCTATATAAAAATCAGCAATTAGACCTCGTTGACGTTTAGGTGGTCGTTATGATTCATGGAAAACTTGGCACTTAATTGTTTCATTGAGAAATAGAGCTGATGTTGAACGAGACATTGTGAAGCTCATGAATAGAATTGAAAGATGAAAATGAGTTTCGATTGCCTGTTACAATTTATTCAATACATTGTAATATTTACAATCCTATAAAAACATTCTGCATTAAATTATAGATTTTCTCCTTCGCTATCTTTACGTTTCTAAACATTCGATCAAGATCGTCACACGTGAGACTATTAAACTCGCGAAAGAATTCAATCGAACATCAATGACGTGTCATGTGCTGATGTGAAGATTTTTCTTCCGTTTCATGATATCGAACAAGAGAATTCGATTGAGTCACGATTCGGCATTTCCACTGTCCTTACAACAATTCAAATCAAATGATTCTCAAATGGAAATTCCCAAAATGCTCTCAAATGATTTATTATTTACTTTTAAAAGTGTCAATGAAATGTCGCCTGATAACAACATTAAATAAATTAAAAATGGAAAGAAGGTAATAACAAAGCAAAAGAATAAATAAAAAATAATTGAAATTCCAATAAATATCTCGATCAATAGCAAGCCTTCGAGTGTTGAACATGTTTTCTTTCGCAGCACGCAAGTCGCAAGTCGCAAGTCGCAAGTTCTTCCTTCACGCCTCTAGGGTAGGAAATAAATTGTCTGATTCACTTCAATACGTTGAGATATCTGTGTTTTATATCTTGACGTTTTCAACTGAATCATACAAGTGCTTTCTGCAAAATTCCATGGAAATGTTGCTGTTAATACGGGTCGGAGATCGTGGGGATTTGAAGCGATTAAAATTGAAATGAATGATGCGTTGTGATGCAAATAAGTGCAATTACCTCACACTCACACCTTCATTAAATTGTTAAATGATTGGACTCATAAAGATTCTTTTTCCGTCTATAATTTAACGATAATAAAGTTGAAATCAAAACAAGATTTTCAAATGTAAATAAACTTTATGATTCAAAATGTTTAATAAAAACATGTAAGGGTAGATCGAACAAATAATGTTAATGATAAAACACTTGTTACCTCTGTCAAAACAAGCGTCTGGAAATTAAACACATTACAATTTGCATTTAATAATTAAAAACTTTTCAATTAATTACTTAAATCGCGAAAATATATTAAAACCAATAAATTGACAACTTTATTGTATAACGCGACATTGGCAGTAGCTAATCTAGGGATATTTAATTAAAAAATTAATTACTTTACACATTTGAAACAACAAAAAGTATGTTTTGGAAATTTGCAAGGTGTTTTGCTATGTTGAGGTCACAATTGCACTTATGGGTAGAACAAACTTTACACAAACTGCGATTTATGCGTGTAAAACCTTTTGTTTGCTAATTATTGAGAAGCTTAAAAACAAATAGCGGGCAATTATGTGTAGGCTAGCGAGTTACAAAGTTCATCTGTTGTGAAATTTATAAATATGAAACAAAAGCCAATTTATGCGTGATTGATGTCATGAACTTTGGCTATTCAAAAATTGATTTAGGTTCGATAATAAATTTTATTTTAACGACTTTCAAAATGCCAATAAGTCCAAAATATTTCTTTTTAATCTATTATATATTTTTTCGATCGTATCACGGACATTCGATCGATAAGGTCGTCATGTTGCGTGGGAGTTTCTTTGTAATTGATTCAACGTAAACCAGTTGCACATACGAATTAAAGTTTGACGATTGTGATCAAATAGAAAAGACAAATTTCTTAACATTTAATGATAAATATTTATTAAGACACTTCACGTTTTACTGACGGGAAAGAGAAGCATTGATTTAGGTGGGTAATTTTGAGAAAATTATATATTCTTGTCAGGAGAAAACGGAACTCGTCAAGACTAGAATTATTCACCGTCAGACTTGAAACTCTGATCTGATAACCTTAGGGGATTTGCGAACGCCCGCTCTGAAGCTTAGCAACAATGTAAAATATCATCAATTAGATTCCATCCAACCCATTGGTAACTCCTTTGATAATTTTATTTATTATTATTATTAGTTTTTGCAAAGCAAAGCCAAAGATATTTTTTTTCATACCTCAGTTACTTCATGATTGACACATCGCCCATTGAATCAATGATTATGCGTATATTTGTTGTTGTAGACTATGAATTGGATTAACTAATTGTTACAATAGTGGCGTGTTTAAATAATCGAAAGTGAAGCTTCTGCAGGCATTGTTCAAGTCATCGAGAAATCGAGAAGAAAGAAGAAGAAGAAGTGACCTTTGTAGACCTTTAATATTTTAGCTCCGGTTGAGGACGAAACTGGCTCGCGTCTATCTGAACTCCCATGGACATTTCGGCTATTTTTCAGCGGTTAACGGCCAATTGTGCCATCACATAAACAATTTATCATGTGATTATTAATATTTAAGGAACAGATTATGCGAACCATGAGTTATCCGTTTAGGGTGTGCGTACGAATAAAAATAAAAATCTCTTCGCAAAGTGCATTTCAATAAATTTTATTACTCACGCATCGTTTTTTAAACAACATTAAATTTAGTTAATAAATCAAATGATTCATAATTGTTTTTATCGTTTAAAGTGATTTTGTGAGCATCATCATCATCATCATCATCACGTGATTACGAGTTTTAATTCCAGAATTGATTATCTCGTAAATATTTATTTAGAAGTCTTCGCGATCTAAGGTCAAACAAACATGGTTCCTTTCAAATTGGAACAATATCTTGATTAAACAAATGAATATAAATGTTATGCAAAGCAATTGTGAAATGGCAAGCAAGTATTAATAAACAAGTAGCGTAATAAATGTGGTTACTTAAACAATTTTGCTTCATATGTAATTCCTTCGAAAAGGTTGAGCTTTAAGAGAAAGTTTTCATTGAACCATAAAAGGATTTCCTACGGCATTATGAGGCTGATATTATAAGCAAGTTCTAAACTCATTTAATGGCTGTGGTATGAAGTAAAATTGAAATTACCGCTTTAATGACGAATATGCCTTGGACAAGAAGAATTTTTAATTTGCATGACCTTTGATAATTAGTTTTAATATTACCATAAACTTTTATCAGCTTAGTTAAAGAAGGTTAGTCAATTAATGTTCATGTTTTATGCCAGCTGATTAACTTTACTGTCGGCTTTTTGAGATCTTCAACAAAAGTTCATTTCCTTTCATAATAAAATATTTCAGTAATTTCATTTCAAAAGTTTTTGTCTCATTTAACACGTCGTAATATTTACACATGGACTGAATTTAATTCGAAACGTTAAAATTATTGTGAAGTGAAAATTATTGTTAATTAATGAATTGGAAAACGTTCAAAATATTATCAATCTACGACAATTAATCGAAATTTTTGCAAATTGAAATCATTGAAAGGTTTGAGTTTAAGGTAATTTCGTTGTAGTTTCTATTTTGGAGTGTTTAGCAAGATGAAAACAACTGTAAAGATTGCGTTTCTAATATCATACACTCTGACGACTTTTTAACAAGCTGAAAACTCATTTAACATTTTTTTTGTTTCAGTCGATTGGATCTTTAATTACCGTCTCCATGAAAGCGATGTAAGTGCTGAAATGGAGAATGTTGAGTTGTCACGAGAAAATCAATAACAAACTTTAGGGCTATTCACTTAACTCAGTTAAGAGCGAATTGAATCATCATTACACTAATCGAAAGGAAATAGATAAAGTCTTGAATTTCATCTGTTGGTTGGACAGATTTCCTTAAAGTTTTATCTAAAAGATATTTATTAAGGACCAACAATGTAACTTGTAATGAGATTATTCAGATGGCGAACATTTAACATCAGAAAACATTTCAAGATGGAATTTCCTAATAAGGAGTTCATGGAAGTTGAAAGCTGAAGTAACTTGTTGCATGTTCTTAAACACCTCAAAGTATTTCAGTCGAAATGGAAATAAATAAATTTACTGAACCTAAGATTTCCATAAAAGAAAAAAAGAAAAGAAAAAGTTTAATTAAAGACTTTTTCAATTTGAATAAAGACAACAATAGTAAATCCAGCAATTTATGTTATTATTCGGAAACCAATTCGACATAATCTATTGACAAAGCTGGAGGACAGGTGACGCATCGAGTTTCAAATCCAGTGTAACAGCAACAACAGCAACAGAAAAGTATTTTCGGAATCAATTTATTATTCATTCAGATTGTTGTCGATCGCAGTTGTTTTCGACAAGTGAGTGCACATTTGTGAGATAAAAATGTATATCTATTGTCATTGGTCATCCGAATTTGGTTTAAATTCGTGGCTCGTGTGTAGATATAAAAGTGAGTAAGTAAGTAAAGCAAATTGAGTGTTCAACTGAAAGGCTTCATGCTGAATGAATGATTGGCAACTTTTTTTTGTCAGACATCGTTTGATCAATTTCTGATATGTGAAAACAACTTCACGTAATGGACTTTTGCTTGCGATACATTTGAAATTAGAGATTGATATATGACCAAGGAACGTCGGTAGATAAATTTGTACAGCAACCCGATTGCAACCGAAGTCGAAAAGGCCAAAACATCTATTTGATCATTTCTTTATTAACGTAGCAATGATGCGGTGAAATAGAGCAATCAAGATAGCAATCATTAATCTAACGTCTATAATTTGAGATTAATTAATACATGTTGGTCAAGATATGTCAGATTATGCAGATGATTACAGATGTCTTGATAAATACAAGCAGTTCAATCATTCTCTTGATGTTTCTTCGATTAAACATTTCAACTTATTTATGATTGTTATTTTGGTCTTATTTAATGATAATTTATTTTACTTTTAAGCCATAAATATTGAAGCTCATAAGAAAAAGTTTATTCTATAATCAAATTTGTGCATTTGAAGTTTAAAGTTTGTGCTGGCATGAACATTAATTTGCTTAATTATTTTGAAACTAAATTAATATCGTTGGTGGTAAAAGTTTTAAGAAAAATTTATTTCTTTCTGAATTTAACTTCTCCTCGAAACAGCTTTTAAGTAATAAAATAAACGGTGTGGATTTTACATCCTTAGATTATTTGCGAAAAAATATGAGCTTTCAATAACGATGCAATAATCGCTTTTAATAGCATCATCGCTACCTGGAGCTCAAGACAAAACATTAAAGTTAATTTGAAAAATGGAAAAAAAAATCCAAATTAGATTCACAGCAGAAAATTGCCAAAAAATAATATCTAATGATGTAGCAGCACTGTTGGAAAATTAGATGAAATATCATCACAATTCGCATGAGAAAATTTCTGATCTTAATGCGTTGGCGCTTCTTTAATCAAGCCGCACTACATTGAAAAAATAACAAACTTTTCGATTATTATTTTGAAGCCTTGTATACTTCTTAATTGGGTCAATCATTTTGCTAGCCTTAAGATATCTCTCGACACCTCATCTCGTCTCAATAGTTTGTCTTTGTGCCTTCCATTGAAGATTGAAAACCATACTCAAACAAGGAATATTCATCGAGCGCGTATCGAACATACAAAAACCAGTTTTTTCTTTATTTTTATATTTCGTAGTCACAAATCATTTCGCGAAACCAATTTCTCGTAAACATATTTGTTGTGCAAATGAGTTGATCGGAATTTAATGAAAGAAACTCGTTCAAAATGTTATTAAATATAGGATAAGTACAGTGGCTCGCTCTCAATCTAGTTCAAAGGAAAGAAGGAAAGATTTGCATACAAATTTCTTTGGAGATTAAAGCATGTTTTTATGCAGAATCTTCAAATTGAATATCGATACGATGCAGATGATGTAGCGAATAAAAAATAATAAAGAAACATGCCTTGAGAAGCGAAATGCCTGACCTACCCCATGAACAACAGCACGAAACTTTTGGTTAAGAAACATAATTTATGCCTTTTTATTTCCTCATACCAATCTTCGCTTCTTCTTTGTCATCTTTAACGTTCATAACACAACATACGCCATACCGCACAAAGCATTCACATTTTGCCTCGTACTTGTTGTTTATTCATACTATAATTTTACTAGGTTTTTGTTTTTTTCATCACAGATATTTCTCACTTAATGTAATTTCTGAATTTGAATGCTGGGAATGAATATATGAAGATTAAATTATGTAGACGTTAGCTGAGCTAAAGTTCTCTGCCTTTTATTCATCTGTTGTGGGATACACAGTTGAATAAATATAAAATTTTAATTTACGATCTTTTCTGCTTCTTGTATTCAAAAACCAACAGAATTTTCATGTTAGTTCAATGAATCAGCAAATTATGAGTCTGGAATTTGCATTTCTTTTCAGGTCGAAGTGAAACATAAATTTACTTTTTTTGTTGTTGTTAAATTGCAAAAATTTAGATATCAATCATGGAACGGAAATCTATAAATTCAATTCGCATTGGATTGTCCCGTTAAAAGCTTTCAATAACATCATCATGACTATAATTAGAAAGAATTATCTACGCACATCACCAGGAAACTGATAATCAAAGACAAATGATTAATATACTTACGATTGATGGATAAGTCTATGAGATGTATCACAATGATTGCAAAAATCCATTTCATCTTAAGCCGTTTCCAAATCCAGCATTCCATTATTTATAATTTTTTTAAATCTTCAATCACTTTTTAAAAAGAGAAAGAAAAACAATTCACCAGCACAAATTTTGCAGCATCTTATGATGGCTGGTAAGTTTATCTGTGAACATGTGAGAAAAGGAAACAAAAAAAAAGCTTTAAAAATAGAATTCAGAACAGAAGCAGCGAGAGTTGAAATTGTAAGTTATACGCGCACGAATTGAAACTCATTCGACAGAATCGTGATGTTGTCTTTAATTAGATGTTTGAATCGAAATGTTGTTGGAAAAAAAATGGAACGTGGAAAGTTACAAGAAGCAGGTACAGACGTGGCTTTACCACTCGATTTACCGGCAAAAGAGAATTTAGTCACGTAACAATGGATTAGTAGCAATAGAAAGAAGTGCTAAGAAGGAAATTCACTCTCTCTCTTCTTCGCTTATAATGTTAACGCGTCACTCACATGTTAACCTCAACGCAACACGCATTTTGTCAGTTTTCTTCACTCAAAACCCGGGCAGTTAAAATTGGATACATTGTCTCATAATTTGACCCCATAAGCAGGCATATTAATGAGACACAAGAAGGTGAAGCTTAAATAAAAGATAAGCAACTGATGTGTTTCTTTCATTAAAACAGAAAGTGATTTAACTACTTTACAATTAAGACAAAAATTGCTTAAAATATTTATCGCTAAGTAAATGAAAATTATTTTTATTAAGCTCTCGGCGCTGTCTCTCGAATATTTCACGGTTCGTTCGAGCAACTTGAAAATCCAGGTCAAAGCTTGTTTTTTTTTGCCATCGTCGTTCGTCGATGCTGTTAACGCCGAAACAATAGCAGCGTTGTGAGATAATACAAACCAAAAAAAAAAGTTGTACAACTTTTCGCAAATGACCGAATCAGTTTTTGTCAACCTTAAATTTAGTGCTGAAAAAAGGATTTACATTTTCATGTAATGTTTGCCTTGTTGCCACAATACTAACAATAGATAATCAATTTCTAGTTGTCTGTTTGGAAGTTTTATCGGATCTTCAGCAATGCTAAACTCAACATAAATAAAAGTAAATGAAATTTGCGTAAAACTAGAAATAAACAAGACGGGCGGGCGGGCAGTCAGTGACACTAGTCAACTCATAATTAAATTTATATCTCGAAAGTCGTTTGCTTGCAGCAGTGGCGTGTACATTGATCAAATACCACCAAGACATTTCATTGGAAACAATTAAAAGTATTATGATTTATGTGTTACGATTCTACCTGAGGCGCACTCATTGTTTGCTCGTGTTTCGGTCTCATAGCTAATGTGTTAACCGCTATTGAAAACGAAAAGACGTTAAGCTCAATAACAAAGCCACATGTAAAAGCATCAATCACACTGCATAGCCATATCACGCGCTTTTATCTCTTTTTCTTTTCACTTCTTTCGGGAACTTCAAATGTTCTTTTAAACTTAACCACTTATTGATGGCTTACTCGTTAATAATCCCAACAATGTTTGTTTTATTTAAGTGAGAAATGAGCCTTTTATAAGCGTCAGATTTTAGCGCGAGTCATTGCTTTTCGATGACGTAATGTCGGTTACATGAGTGAGATGGAAAGAGCAAGAAATCGCCGTACACACATTCCATCATTCGCTCCGTGAATTTCGCGAAAATGAGCAAAGCACCGTTACATGTTAGCGCAACAAAGCAGCTTGTGTCTTGTGGAAGGTTTTCTTTCAGTCCAATGCTTCAGTTTTTTTATTTTTTTTTTGATTGCATGGCCTTGAATGGAATAAGAAGTCGTCGACTAACCACAGAGTATATTTATGTATACGGAGATATAAAAATCTCTTAATTTAAATTTGGAGTATCTAGTTTTTTCCTTCTTTTTCCAACAACGATAAAAATCAGCGTGTCGACCTATGCAAACGCTGATTTTTACGACATTTTTTTCTTCTCTGCCTTTGTGAATTTATTTCTCTTATTATCTCTTCACATGCATCTTCCATCAGCTGAAGATAAATGAATTCTAAGAATTCTCATTCTTAAGTGAATCAGAGATTTCTACGTGATTTTAATTCGTTTCAAGCTTCAATTATTTTCTTTTTCAACAAAACTTTCAACATACGTTCATCTAATTGATTAAGTACTTGAATTTAATTTATTAAAAAAACATTTTCGTTTAGAAAATAAATCACAATGAAGCAACAACGCAAACCGCAAAAATAACTAAATAAGTATTAATGAAATGGTGGAAAGAAAATAAAATAAAAAAGAGAAAACTTTCATTTTTAACTGAAAATTATTCGTCAACGACGTCGCGCAATTACACGATGAAGAGAAATCTGCACGACTGAAAAATTTTGTGATGTAAATAGCGAAGTTTTATATGATTTTTTTTGTATATTGTCGAACGGTGCTTAAGCAGACATTACCGAGAGCTTTTCCGCGTTGATGATGACTCTCTGTGTTCGGTGTTTGTTGACTCTTTATTTTTTACTCCACAGTGGTTTATGGTTTTTGGAAGGAAGTTTCAAGTGCTTCCGTAATTATTTTAGTTTACTGCAAGCAGATTAATGACTTTAAAGGGCTTTTGGAATGCTTTAACTGCAATTTATCATCAGGTACACCATGCTATGATGATAGAAATAATTTCATAACTCTGGGCTTAAGCAATTCGCGCATCTTTGGTGAGAATAAAGATTATTGACGGTTACATAAAAAAGATTCCTAATACGGAATGTAATTGAAGATTAATTTGTTTTATTAATAGCAAAGGCAGAGTTATTTTTAAAATTCAAGCTTTGGAATTTGGTTGTTTTTATGGTATTCAAAATCGTTTTTTGATGAGACTCAAAGACGTGAAACGAGTTCTTTGAAGATCGTTTTTGTGTGTCACTTCTATTTTTTTTGTTACTTTGTAGTTTTTATTGGGTGATCTCCACACGATTTTTTTTTGTAAATTTCTATTGTACTCGAAGTCAAAGCACAAGTTGTGGAACGATTTGTTAATTGCTTCAATGAAAGGGACAATGATTTGTTTAAAAGTTACTTAACAAGATTTCACTGTTTGTTCTGTATCTTTAAATCTTTTCGCCACCATTATCACGTTTCTTGCTTCAAGAAATTATTAAAAAAAAGAAAACAAACCATTTGAACTTTGCGAGATTGTTTCAGTGAGATTGCGATTGAGTGAATATGATGACGGAGATTGAGAGAGATGAGAAGAAATTTCTATTGTATCAAAGTAATTGTAGAGGCATCTGAGGTTAACATGTGTTATAAAGAAGAAGAATCCAAATCAAAGATCATTTAACGGCATTCTGTGCTGAGTGTTTTGAAGTATTTTATTTATAAAAAGATTTATCAAAAGAATTTTTCTTTATATTTGCAAAAACGATTCGAGCATCGCTTGAGCTTTGTTTGTATTCATTTGACATTAATTCTGTCTCGCCGAAGAGCCATACAAAACAGATATACGTCTTCACTTCATCTGTTTATTTGGAACCGTAACGTCATTATTTGATATTTTTCCTCTCATTTTTTTGCTTTATTCACAACTCTAAACATTTTTCTTCATCTCATTTTCCAAACTACTTTTTTTTCATAAAATCGCCTTCTTTTTCTTCAACAACAAGTTCACTTGCAAAATCCACAGTTTTACTTTTATTTTTCTTCTCTACAGACTACCGCGGTATTTCAAAAGTGCATTTGCATTTGCGAACTAAAAAAGAAGCAGAATATTCAAGGCGATTGAACTTGGCACAATTAAAATTTTTCTTAGAGATTCTTCTTATTGATTTAACCCGACAATACGCGAAAACATTTACAGTCACGGGCTGTTAACAAACTTTCCTAATATTTTATTATCTAACATGGAATTTCACTTTATTTCTTTAATTAAAATTGAGCTTCCTTATTAATACACCGACCGCCTTAAAAATGAACACCACAAAAGGCATAGTGTTGGGCGGGTGAATTAAAAAAAAACCTCAAATTCAAATAAGTAGAATGATGTCCGCGTTCACCTACGATTTGCTTTTACTTACATCCGAATTCAAAGAGCGACTCAACAAGACTGAGACAAACATGTTGTGGTTCATTTGGTTTATTTCTCTTTTTCTCAATGCGAGTATAGTCAATGGATTGTCAAGAAAAGAGTTGAAGCTAGCAGGTTTCGTTTGAAAATAAAAGCGCCAAGCATCTCACACAACCACTAACAATGTAAGACAACATGCCATCGAACGAGAGAGCTTTAATTTTTGCTTGAAAAATTTGTGTTATTTTCTCTCCATCATTGAAGTCTTTTGTTTCCTACAGAGCAAGATCGTCTTAAGAGAGTTGGAAAAGTTTAGTTTGTGTTTGTAGTGAAAGTTTTCTCAGAAAATCGTGCAGAGGTTCTGAAGAATATTTTCTGAATATTGTTTTTAAAAGGTTTGGTTTTTAATTTGTTTTAATTTTTAAATGTAAAATGTGGAAATCAAAATTTAAGACGATCATCGTGTGTAAGGTTTCGATCTATTACCTTGCATTGTAACCCCAACTGAAAAGCTCAAAAGCTTGGAAGCTCAAAAGCTCAATTAAGTTTTCGAAGGAAAATGAAAAGTTTCGAAGATTAATAATTTCGAAAAGCTTTAAAATACTTTAAATTCATATTTCTTTGTTGGCATCTAATTCATATTCAACATCACAAAATAAAGCTTATTTCTCACTTACTTATTTTTTTGCGATATCTAATGGAATGGGGAAAGGTTTTTATGTAGGCTACAAATGTAGATCTCATTTTATGTCTTATTGTTCTTTTCCTTTGATGAAACTTCGTAAATAGATCGCTTTTAGAAATGTTATCCAGAGGTCGCAAAAAACTGTAACCTGGGGAATTTTAATTATAGTTCTCTTCACATCAGAGTTGTCATGCCACCATCATAATGAAGAGATTAAAAAGCAGAACGTTGATCGATTAAACTTCTTGTACCTGATTATTTCATGATCTTTGTCAAGTTTTTTTTTTTGTAATCCTCCAACAACTGGGACAAGTTAATAGCTATTTTGCGTGTGCGAATGATTAATGTTTATGAAGGAGAGTTTCCTGAGTATAAAGATAAAAATTAAGTATCCTTAGTATAATAGTTCTCATGGAATAATCAGACAAGAAACTGAGAAAAAAAGCTTTAATTTTATTTTTCGTTAAATACCTTGAAGTCATCATCAACGTCCAGAACAAATCTTATGAACGTGATGTGCTGAGTCGTTAAAGATAATTTAAAAGTGTTGCTCGTGAATCAAAAAGTTACATACGACTTTAAAATCAAAGTTCTTTTCTTACTTATCATGAGCCATCAATTATTTCATTTCTTGCCAGCATCAGTTAAGTTCTCATTTTAAAAATATTTAATTCAATCTTTGATGGAAGGTGAGATGGTGTTATACATTCACGCTGGTCATTCTGCAATGGAATATAATGAGTATGAAAAGACAGCACTCTGAGTATCTTTTGTGCCCCTCACTTTGGCACATATTAACACTCTGTCGACTGAATGTAAATGGGAATTAATTTCATTATTTTACTTTACGCTATTTCGCGATATTCGAGCGGCTTCTTTTGAATTGAAGTAATAAAAATTTGGATTTCAATATCTCGGGTCATTCTCACATGTTATTTGAATGTGAAGTGATGTTCATAATTGTTAAATATAAAAAGACAGAAACCATTTGTAGTTATGAAAATGAAGGTTTTCTGAATCGTGATCAAAGTTGAATGTCAAAAATATTATCCATTGACCGTCGATTATTATTGCATACTTTGTTATACTCGTCTTGAAACGGTGATTATCGGAATGTTAATGATACGGATAATTTATCAAAAACACTTTTTTGTTTCTTGACACTGCATACGCTGAAGTCACGCACCAGACTTGAAAATGTTGAACCAATCGACACTATCGCTTTATCAACCTGCTGCTTTTAAAAAGAAAAAGAAAACATCGAAAGCGATCAATTTATTTCGGGGACGTTGTCCATTGTATTATTATGTAATCATTTTTTATGACTCTTTTTATCAGCCATGAATTGCGTAATTTTAAAATGGAATAAATCTCTCGAACAATCGGTCACGACGCTAGCGGCCATCAAAATATTATCCAAAAAGAAAGAAGAGAAAGAAAACTTCATTAATATTGATTTAATTCACTATCTTTATTTTAATGTGATTACGTATGTGTTCAACGCTATTTCATATCAAAGGACTGAAAGCAATTTATATATTTATTGACGAAGATGACATTATTTAAGTCAACTCTTCTCAGATTTCATTAATCGTTTTGAACCTTTTTTGTTGTTTGAAGCCATTGCATCATTCATTCGTTTTGTTATCGTCCAATTACTCTTCGTCCCTGGTTCACCTGCTATGTGCTTATATGAAATTTCCATGCACTTATCGATCACGTTCAATAAACATTCATTCGATATGCTGTAAAAAAGTGAAAAAAAAATCCAATTTAATTTTTTTTCACCTTTCGATGAACCGAAAGCAATCTCGATATACCGCATAATAATTAAAATGAATTTTAAATAAATTTCGACGAGTCATAACGATTCGTTAACAAAACAATAAATAAACGTTTTTCAACTTATTCGCTTCTCAAGTACTTCTGTTTCCGATGCAGAAGGCAAAAGTTGAGTAAACATCAAAAAAATAAAAAATGAAAACTTTTGAAAATGGAAAATGCGTTCGCCATGTTCAAATGTTGAAATCTCTAAACAGCTTCGTTCGCTTCATTTAAATTCCAAAAATATTAAAACAAAAGTGAAAAGAGAAATGTTTCCATTTGACCTTCTTCAAATTACGTTGTCGCTATTCACAATTTGTTCGCATTCATTCACACGATGATATCTGTCGTATGGAAGTGTTTTTAATTAAAGTATCCATATACAAAAAAATGTCTTTCTAGAACTACGTTTAATCTAAAACGTGTTGATTCAGCTGCATAAATTAATAGTTTTATTTTGTTATAAATTCTCAGAGACTTGATATCTGTTTAGATACCTTTTCGTTGTTTTACATTCTACAATAAACTGTATGATAAAAATGACAACAAATGACATCTTTTGTGTATAAAAATCTTAAAGTTAGTTTGAGTTAGAAAGAATTTTAATGATGCGCAAATTGTTTTTGTTGAATATTATTAAGTCGTAAGCATTTTGAATGTCTTTGTTTGGGGAAATTCACTCGCAGTCATTTCCAACTTTACGTGAACTTCAATGAAAATAATCAATGTTGTAAAACCTTCACACAAACTTCAACAACAACTTTGAAACCTTGATGCGAATATTTTTCTCTCGTTTTCTTCTTGCACCTAAGTGTGAGATGCCATCAGTCATTTGCGATAATTCAACTGAAACACGATTGAAGTTCAAATACAAAATATTGACAAAATACTGAAACAAAGTCGCTGAAACTTAATTTTGACACATACAGAAACTCAATATAATTATAAGGCAAAAACCATTCGGAATACTTTAATTATTTATGTTTATTTCATTGTCACACACATTATTTAAAAATTTTATGTTTCAGTATAAAAAATATAGAAAGAAATCTTATGTAATAAAATCCTTTTTTCTTAACTTAATTACAAAATTTCATTTCAAGGAATTAATATTTAGTACTGAATCAGTAAATGAAATTAAGTTTTTTATTGGTAATGCGGTTCATAAAGTTGAATCAAAATCAACAGATTAAGTAAGAAGAAAAAGCATAATTTATGATTCACACTCACGCTTGCTTAAACTTTCACACGTCTATGTAATAATAAAAATAGCTTTTTAAAGTTTAAATTGATTGATTTCTCGCTTACGATTTTCGATTGCAATAATATCTGAAAAATTTCCATTAAGTAGCTGCTGGTTACATTTCACATCACTGCTTAATTATATTATTATTAAATGAAAAATATAAAAAAAAGAAATCAGTTCCAAGGTTAAATGACTAATCGATGGACGTGGTTGGTGTCCGAACGATATTCCGTAGACTGAGTGGCACTCCTAGTTTTACGAGCTTGTTGACGCTTGTTCTGTGAATGAAAGACAAGTCATAATGAGCTTTTTGATCTTGATTAAAGTACCAAACAAGCTTACATTTCCACTTTTGTTGATCTTCTTTGCATCATCAACCAAACGTTGTGGAACCATCCAAAGGTTGTCAGATTGCGCGATAAGAATATTTGTTAGATGACAACATTGAGCTGCCATTCGCACTTGAGCTGAGATATCATTTTTATCCGTTGGATGAATAAAGCGTGGGGGAAAAAATGATGGTGCTGTGATTGTTGCAACGTTGTGAATTGACATTTTATTGAAACTTTGAAAATCAACTACAAGTTTGAAAAAGTTGAGCAGTTCACGCATTGTATTACGATTTTCATGTGGCAAAAGAAGACACAGCATTGAAATAGCTCGAGCTTGATCTTGTGACGGGAGTGCTGTGAAAAGAAGATTTTAACATTTTTTTAAATGTTTTGAGTGATATTCACATGTTTAATTCAAAGTTCGGACTAAACTGTGTACGAGTTAAACATTCACAAGCTTTCAGCAATTTCTCGAATACTCACCATGAGTTTGATAAAACAAATGCACCAAATCATTAGCCAACAAAGGCTGTGGAAGTTCACGAAGCCATCGCTTTAAGAGAGCACTTAAGTCATGAACACCGGCACGCTTTAAAAGCGGCTCAATTTTTTCTGGTTTCGAGTAGAAATGTTGTTCAATTTCATGGTAGAGAGTTTCCGTCTGTTGTTAAAAAAAAGAAAGAAAGACATTAAATTGAGATTAATTCACAAGTTATTTTGAATATTAAACATACCTTTTGTTTATGACCTGCAACTCTTAAAATTCCTTCTTCTTTCGAGCCACGTTTGATAAGTTCTCTTAAGATGCTTTGAAGGATAAGTGGAACTAATGATGTATCTTCTCCGGTAACTTGTTGATCACGACGAACCAACGCATTGAGCGATACACCAAAGACATTTCCTTCTTCTTTTCGCTTTCGTTTGAATGGCTTTCGCTTGTCAAGTGCAATGTGATGCTTGTCAAAGATCGCTGCTAATTCCAGCCATAAAACTGGCTGAAGTTTTTTAATGTCACCTTCGGGGATGTTATTGATGTCACTGCAAACTTCATCAAGCGCTTCACATTCAGATCCATCAGAAGATTTCTCAGTCTCACGAATCATACTCTCAAAGCTGATCGGTGCATCATGAGCGATTCGATACGGCGTGCTCGTGTTGGCCTTGTGGAATTTTATCATGTCACTTGTACGTGGTGGGGAATTTCCTGGACTTGGCGATGATGAACTTGTTGACGAATTAGAAGAAGTTTCATTATCGATGTAAAGATTGTTGTGACTACGTGCAGCTGATGAGATTTGATTTCCTTTACGAATACTGTAAAGAGAACAATTCATGATAAAACAATTTAAAGAATTTGCTTTTCAATTAGAATTCTAGTCAATCAAGTTCGATGCAAGCGTCAATTCAAAAGACCTTTGTAATAACTTATTTGATTCAAGGATGACAAATTCTTGTTCTAAATTATTTTTCATCTTACAAAGTTTCGCAAGAATTGTTTCTAAAACAATAAAATCTTTGTTTCTATTTCAAGTTCAACTTTAAATGGTTATAAACAATGTTCATGTTAATTATTGTTATTCGTCTTCTGAAATTGATGAATCAATTTCAATCTCTGAACCTCATCACGAACTTAATTGCTTGATGTGTCAAAATGAATAAGTGTTTAGTTGGAATTAAAAAAAATAGATAAATAATTGCGACTTACCCAATAGTGCACGATGGATCGGAGCCTGAACGAACGCGCGGTATATGAATAGTGCCTAATCTTTGGAAGTTGAGTAGTTCAATGCCATCGGCTGTGAAGCAAGGAATGTCGCAACGGATGTGTGATCCTCTGAAGAGTTCAGCCGAGCCACGCAACGGTGCACTCGGTGTACGTCGAAGGTTTTGCTTCGCTCGAATGCCAACTGTCGGACTATTATCGAAGATTGAGACGAAGCTTGGTATCTGCCCACCATTATTCCATTGATCTTGATCCGGGAGCGAATCTAATGAGTCAGGTGTTGCACTTCTTGATCGAGAACCAGTGCTGCAAGTCTGTCAATTAATTAAAGAAACAAAAAAATTCAATAAATTGAAGGTCAAAAAAAATTCTGCTTATCTCACCTCAACATCGCGAAACACATCCCGAATGTCTGGTTTTTTTCGTGTGTTTCTCGATCTCGTTCTTCCGCGTACAGTTCTATTCAAAGCCTTGACTCTCAATTTCACCGCCTCAGCATGATGGTTTGACAGTCTTGCTAATATAGGAGCAAGTTCCGATGTTGGTTGTTCGCGACCCTACAATGGCGATCAACAAAAAAAGAAGAAAAGATAAATAAATATTTGGAATGGAAGTAAGCTGAAACAAACAGAAACCGATCTTCACCCGACAAAGCCACGACATGCTTTGTGCTTGTTGCTGATAGAAAAATTAACTGACGAGCGAATTTGTTTTCTTCTTCATGTGGTTCAAGCATGTGCGCTCTCAGCTTGGCAAGTGAAAACAATTGAAATCAGTCTTTTTTTAAATTTCATTTTTCAAGTATAATTTTAATGTTTTTTTTTTTCGAAAATCATCGTTAAGACGCTAACAACAACTCATATGTATAAGATTGACGCAACCAGGCACATCAGAAATAAATTAAATATGAAATAAAATTTATGAGCACTTTGAACCGTGAAAGTCAAATTCTTGTGTTAAATTAATTGTTTCATTAAAAAACCAAAAAGAGAAGTTTCGCGCATAAAACAATCGACTTAGCATGTGTGCCATGACATGAACGAATACTTAGGTCAAAGAGATTTGCGCATAGATTTCTCATCTTCTTTATTATAATTAAATATAAGAAACGATCATCTTACCTGTTCGAATGCCCTGGTTAATTGAGGAAATCCGGCAGCAACTAGCCACTGAGCTTCATACTCTCCATCTAGAATTGAGAAGCAAAGACAATTTAGTTCGATCATGTAAATATCTACTTATTTAGTCAGAAATTCAGTTATTCAGTGAAACTTTAACACGACGACGCTTATTGCAAAAATAAAAGAATAAATAAACAAATCATTGACGTGCAGCAAGGCCAAATATTCATCATTAAATTATTATAAGTAGGTATACGGGATTCGAGTCGACCACGCCAATTAAGCATTATTGATGAGATGAAGCCTTGAGTGAATCTTCACGAGATATCAATTCAAGAATCAATCTTTAACAGTGGTTTGCCGATTGATCATTGTTACACCCGAGAGAGAAAATGATTATCGCTGTTGCGTTAACCGGTAATGACAATGCTAATTTATTCTTTGCCACACAATCGTGCAGATAAAATCTTCCCGAAGCAAACGAATGTGTAATTATCCGATTCTTATAGAGAGAAAAAATTCCCCCTAAAGATGAAATTTTTACATAGAACTTGGGTGTGACACTAATTATCACTTAATAAATTATTTCCGACCTTTACCGATGTCGTTTCTATTCATTTTCATTTACAATTTTTTTATCAGCTTATAATGAAAGCTTTTTAACTGGGGAACTCTAAAACGTTTCAGTTTCTTTGTACATTCAATTGAATACTAGAATGTGCAATGGGAAATAAATATTTGTCGTTCTTTTTCTAAGGAAAAAATAAAAGAAAGAAATCAAAAAGGCGAGAGAAGTGTGTTGACTTGTAGAGCACGTACAGGCGGAAATTACGTAATTTTATTTCTTTCTTTTTTCTCAGAAGGGACGTTTTATGGAAGATTGCAAAGCGTTACAGCAAGCAGTGGGAAGAATAATTATGAAACTTACCGGCATAATGATCTGGTTCCAAAGGTGTTTGATTTTTATATTCACTCAGGTACTCGTCCAAGTCAGGGTCTAAACTTTTATAATGATATTGAGGCGAATGATTCATTGTGAATGATTTACTCGGAACTAAATGTTGATGATGAGGTTTCGGTTTATTTTGTTTCGTGTTGAATGTTAAAAAGAAAAAATATTTTTATTTGCCTCCAAGATTGGTCTGTCGATGTCGTCAAACTATTAAAGATGAAGGTTTTCTCTTGCTTTTTACAACTTCAAATTTACGACGATATCAATTCGTCATAGATTCCATTAGCATTCTTCTTTTGATGTTAACTTCGTTGTAAACTTTTTTTCTGTCACATTTTTTGTTCCAACAACGGTAATGAATATTCAACTGAATGGCTCTCGAAATCATGCAGAAATTGTGTAATCATCGAAATTTTTAACTGCAATTTATGTATGTTGAAGTTTGTTTTTTTTTATGAATGTATCGTCGAGGCAATAAGTTATCGATTTACTAGGCGGAGGTTTAAAATTGCGGCTGATTGTTGCGCAAAAATCAAACAATTAACCAATAAATATACAAAATGAGATTTTTTGTGTTTTGTTTTCGTTTGATATTCCTCTTAGTTAAAGTTTCATCGAACTCTGTTCATATGTTTCTGCAGGCCACAACACGAAAACTTTTTTATGCTCATAAATGAGCTTTTATTTGTTGTTTTCCCTCCGGCTATGGACTTTGCTTTCGATGGAAGCAGAAGTTGGAAACTGTTTGCTGTTTTTTTTTCACTTTCAATCACAAAAAATGCAGTTAATGCACCGTTTTGTTAGCTTGTTGATAACTTTTATTTACTCTTTCTGTCTTTTGGAAAACTTGTAAGTAATGTACAGTTGTGCGGTTCCACGGTTGCTTGTGATTTAAATCTGAAAGTAAATAAGAATGAAGTAAAATGAGTGATTATGGATATAATCAAACAAGCTTAATGTGCTAGTAATTTGTTTTTTATTTGGGCGGAAATCTACCGATCACTGGTTTCAATTCATATTTTATTACGTAATTGAAGCTAGTAAAAAATTTAAAGAATTTTTAAATGAATGTTCACGAGTTTACGAATTAAAATTAGAATTTAAATTCCATTTCAGTCGAAGACACAAAATCAAAACTTTCCTGCCTTAAATATTACGCAATAATGCAAAAAAAATTAAGTGACAAAATTTCATCATCAATCTTAATGACCTCCGGTCTGCTGATAATGTTGCTTTCATCATAAGATGAACATAATCACGAGTTGCAAATTTTACAGTAACTATGAAAATCACGCTGCGATGCATAATATAATTACACATAAATGGAACTCTTGCTGTCCACATTTCATTGTATCAATTCTTTATAATTATTTCTTCTTCTTCATTAATAAGTTTACATGGCCAGAAGCCACGTCTAGTCATGGATGGGTTTTCGAAACAGTCGACAGTTACATCATGCACCTCTTATTATATTTTTTGCATCGAATCTACCCATTAAGTAGCTTCTGGCATCCATTACTTAATTAAATTTTTTGCCTTATCCCAATTTTGCGCTCCAATGCTTCTACAATCGTGTAGCGGCTTTTTACATCAGAGTCTAAGATCCATAATTCGGGTTATTGATTTGATTTTGCAAGATAAATTTTTCATGCGCGAATACTTGAAATCAACTGAGATCCATTAAACACTCAAAGAATTTCTCAAATATTTATTCTCCGATGTTTTCATAGTAATTCTTCGTTTTCATTTCGCAGTAAATTATACGAATAACGCGTTTCAGCATTGGGAAGCTACCTAGGCAAGTAGGCAGTTTGGTTCGTTTGCGGAAAAGGTAACAAAGAAGAGAAGGCCCAGTTAACAGTTGTGGCGTTTATAGTAATTTTCGGCGATCGTTAAAGCAACGAAACTGAAATCAGTTGTAAACGTTGTGAGTTGTTATTTCTTTGATGAGTGAAACTCGTGTTTATAGCACGCTAATAAATTTCCAAAAAAAATGTGTGAAGTTTAATTGTCTAACCATCAACTTCCTGACCGAAAAAAATCATAATATGCGCTCTAAACACTTTATTAAAAGTTTGAGATATTCCGATTTGATTATTTTTAGTGTATACTTGAAATTAATGATTAGTTAAACTGTAAAATTAAATAATAATTGATTTGGAAGTGCATTTGTTCGAACAAACCACAAACATCGATTCCGTTGTTTATTTTCGCTGTTGTTTTATTTCAAAAAAAAGTCTCAATTAGGTAATAATGTTCGCCATTATTTTTATGTATATATAAACATAACTTAATTACTCAACATAGTATAATATAAAACGAATAACATTGTTCGCTAATATAACTCACTAGCATACATTTAATATTTTTAATTTTTATAATACCAGAAATAGACAATTAAGTGAAGGAAAATAAAAGCTTAATTAATTTTCTTTAAGTCTGACATGTGTTTTATTGAAATGAAACGAAAAAGAATTGGCATTTGTGTATGTGTGTTTAACTCCCGTTAAATTAACATGAACATCGATGTGAAACAAATATAAAAATATTTACTACAGTCTGAGATCTTTTGTTGGTTTATTTTAATTTATGATTTAAGGAAACTTTTCTTGGCTATTTCTACCGTATTTATGTGGTTTCTCTTGATCAGCCCAAAAGCAGACCGTCTGAATAAAAGATTTTACACATGTTCATCATTCAAAGCAGTTGATTGCTTCAACACAAACCATCACTGACCATTCTCAAAATAGATTTTAATGAGTTGCTACCAAACTAACATTTCGCTTTGAATTGCAATTCTTAAACGGAATATTTCGCTGTTTACTTTTTTTTTCTTTTGGTTCGCCCAACAAATCAAAAACGAAAATGGAAACGAAGTTTTATGAGCCAATTGGTTTTAAGGTCAATTTACGGTAGTTAAGGTTTTTGTGCGATTCGTAGTGTGACGGAAATCAGTCGTCTATCCACCTAAGCACCTTGTAGATGTTTTGAAAGTTTGAAAAATCTTAACGTAATGAAAGAAATTGCATAAGAATGTCAAGTACTTCGGCGTAGATCAATCGTGTATCATTCAGGACAACGATCTCGTCATATGTACGTGCTTCAAAGTTGAGATCATGAGGAAATTTCTCTTCCAAGTGCCGTAAATAAATCTCTTAGGTACTCGCGCAATTTCAATGAAAGCATTTTTATTTCATATAAACATTGTGAAATATTTTTTGCTTTTATCTTTAACTTCATGATTTAGCATCTGTTTCAAGTCACCAAACGCTTTAAACATTTCATCAGAAATATTGTGAGTTTCTCGTTTGTTTCGATTTCAATTGAAAAGAAGCATTTCAACTTCTGAGTGCGTAGCATAGCATAAAGAGTCGAAATAAATATTTTTTTCTTGCTTTTGAACTGGTTTCTGTCTCGGGAGTTGATATCAAGTTTAATCAATAATTTGTGGAAAAACGTGTTTCATTCAATTTCACTATCTTGAAACTATCAAGTTTTTGCTTCATCGCCTATCTAGTTGAGAGAATGCAATGGGAGATTGTTTAAGAAGGAAAATGACTTTTGCAGACATTGTGGAGAAGTATCGAAAGCGGCTTTAGATTTCTGTAATTGCATCGATGCATGTTTTTGTGCCATTATTAACGGAATTATTAGAAAGAGAGTCTCGTGACCTTTCTAACTCGTACGTTGTCACTTTTAAGCTTTCGTTTGACAGTGAAAATATGTTCAAGAGCGAAAAACGTATGGAAAATTGTTGACGGCGCTTAAAATGCTGATTTTCTCCCATCTTGTGTAGTACATAAATAATACAACGACTCAATTGATTTGTTTCGCGACAATGAGAAAGTTTCTTAAATACTGTAGAAATTCTGCAGAAAGTGAACGTGAAAAACAGGGAGATTCGACCACAACGCACCAATCAGATGATTGTCGTCGAAAAAAACTAGATTTAACAAAAAGAAAACATGAATTTTGCGTTTGTTGAAAATAAAATAAAGAAAACAAGGCATAAATTAAGTGCTTTACTAAAATATATTTCACCCTTTCTCTTCACACGATTTAGAGACTAAGCGCCGAAATACTTTAAAAGCGCCACAACAAGGCGTTTGTTCGATGTCGCGCTGCTCAAAAGAGAACGAATGGAAAGAAAAGAAACATCATGCAAATTATAATTGCCAAAAATTGATGTCCCAGAAACGCGATTTACGTATGACTCTTGTCTTTACCGTCGAGTATTTTCGAAGCGGATATGAAATGAAAGAATTCCAATAGTTTATACCATTTAATGTCTCTTGTGTTCAATCATCTTTTACTTTTAAAATATTATTTCAAGCTGGTTCCGTTGACGTTCTTCTTCCATTTCACAAATCATTTTTCATTTCACTGGAACTGCTTATATTTTATTGAAATGTGAATGAAAGGTTGGCTTTCCTGCCAATATTTCTTTAACACGATTTCACACGTGTTAAGACTTCTCTTTTGTGCTGTTGCTATTAAGATAAGAAGCTTGAAACCACTTAAACTTATCAAACTAAAAAAAAGAAATTTTCAACTCATTACTCAAACCTTTTCACCCAGAAAAAAAAGATTTTCTTATAAAAAATGCAAAACGCAAAAACGGAAAAATTGCTCTTGAAGACGCACAAATGACGTTGACAACAACAACGGGGAAAAAAATAAATAAAACAAGAGAAGAAAAGTTGAATCAAACAATTTCAGCATATTGAGGCATGCGATGAAGTCGGTGTATAAGCACGACCGATGTAATTGAAGAAAAGTAAAATTTAGAAAGTGAAGTTTGTGCACACAACCATAATCATTCACAATTTCATCATTTATTTGCTCACGGTACATATTTTTTTTTTCTTCCATCCACTCTCTTATGTTTCATTTACTTTATGTGTCTTTCCGATTTCCATCAAATAACAAAAAAAGAAGTTGAAAATTTCCACGAAGAAATCTTATTTGGTGCGTGTTTCATGCTTTTATTTCCTGCCTTCATCAGTCATCAATTATGAATATCGACTGCTGTTATCATTTTACTTGAGTGATGTCTAGAAGGAAATGCTATGCTTGAATGATTCTTTCATTTTTCTTATTCATTTTAATGGGGTTCGTTGGTAAGTTGAGTGTTGTTAGACTTTTGATATTGAGTAATTACTTTGCTTATCTTATCGAATCAATAAATATCAGGTCAATGATAGATAATTTTGCAGAAAATCGATCAAATCCAATATTCTATGTATGTTTATTGTCCTCAAATTGTTGAACGTTAAATTTACGATTCTTATTTGTGATAATAAAAATTCTTGCGAAAAGCTCAATAAAGGAATTGTAGTCGAGTGAATTTTACATTTCTTTTTATTTCAACTATGAAACTCTGTTTTTGCCATCAAAAGTAATAAATAAATCCACTTTATTAAGATTAAATCATATTTTCTTTAAGATATCTCGTGAAATTCTTGTTCATTCTTTCATTTTCTTAAAACTGTTTTGAAAGTCTCACACATTCCATAAATGATTGAAATTCTTACGAAACTTCATTGACCACAGCAGGTAGAAAAATTCTTCCCCTAAGCCCATTAAAAGAAGAATAAAAGAAAAAGGAAGTTCATCAGGTGGCTTTGTGTTTAAATTGCAGTTGAGAAATAGTTGCGCATAGTTTTAAGCCTTTTATGAAGATCTAGACGTGGAGATACGCTAATAATTCTCATTTCCTTTCTAACAAATAATCGCTCTCGGTGCAATCGTTCTGCTTGATAATTTTACTTTGTTCTTTGACGCAGTTTAAACTTTAAACAAACACATCGTCAGCAAATGATGCAAGAGAAGAAGAGAAATAAAGTTTTGTGGTCGTATAACCATCAAGGACGTCCCAGTGACTTGAATGGAAAAAAATATTTTTTTTATTTATGTCGCCAGAACGACAATCGATAAAAACAAAGCCACTAAGAAGCGGTTGAGTAATTTTCCATTGAATTAGGATCGTCATTTTCATCGTAAATAAGATAAAGTTAGTAAAACGTGCGACGTAAAACGTATCGAATCTCGCATATTAATCCCAACTAAATCTTTATCAATCATCATTGAAATTCATCATAAATTTATGATAATTTATGCCAAATTCTTACATGTCTTTCGAGTTAACCTTGACGTTGCTGTTGCTTTTGCCGTTGCCATTGCTTGCCTGATTTGTTTAATTGAGCGTTTTGGGACCAGTTTTCATATGTAGAAAAGCTTGTTTATTTATTTACATCAAAAACATCAACCATTATTTACATTTAATTTATTTTGACGACTTCAAATCAATATTTCAAATTGTATTGTGAAGCATGATTTAAATGAACCTGCTCTGCTTCGTTTGTGGCTTTAAAAGACATTTTGCGTTCTTGAATCATTTTTCTTCTGAAATCTTTATTATTTTTTTGGAGATACAACATCCCAGGTTTGCTTTACCTGGTTTGGTTGCTTAATTACATCAGCACGTTTAAATGTTTTTCAGATAAATTCTGTCGTGGCGAGTTAGACAGAACAGCAAACGCAAAAAAAAGCAATTCGTGTGAACGTCATTCGATCAATAAACCGCAAATTTATTAATGATTATGACGTCATTTGCCAAACGGCCCCCATAGTTTCTTAACAATCGTTCGATACATCAATCTGGGACGAATGAATAAAATGAAATAAAAATTGAATGAAACTTGTTGCGTCTCGAGGTTTTGTGATTAAAAGTGGGAAGGGCGTGAGTGTATATGGTCCGTGTAGAGATCATTAATAAAAGAACGAGAACCTTCTTTTTTTTTTGGTTTCCTTTCGGTGCCCCAAACAAGACACGATGACGGTAGAGGTTAAAGAAACTGTGAGGTGAAACAAGTTACAAGCCCGAAACAAAAGTGAATAAAGATGATTGATTAGGAAAATTCTTCGAGAAGGTTTCGTGCGAGCAATTCCTTGTTGAATCTCGAGAGTGAAATTAATTATTATAGATATTCTATAAGTTTCCTCCAGCTACATATTTTGTGATTCTCCTTGACTTAAACTGCCAGAGGATTTCATTTCTTAAAAAAGTATCAAACTGTGTTGGTTCTTAAATACGAAAAGGTTGAAATCTTCCGAACAACGCACACCTGACGTAACACTTTATCTTGTCAGAATTATTTATAAGGAATTTAAACATTCTCTGATGTCACGAAAGTGTCTTCAATCTTCATTTCATTTCCTACATTCTCTGCTGAGTCTCCAAGTCCACCTCATATTTATTTACACTCGTATCGGAGAAGCTCATCTGACAAATTTACTTTTCTCATTAATATTTCCTTCTTCATCTTCGCCTTCATTCGATTCCTTTTGAAAAGTTGTGATTAAGTGGAGACGATTAAATATTTACCAGACTCTACCCGGTAGGGCTACTTGCGCTGAATTCCAAAAGGTAATGATTATGTGTACAGCATAGCATGCTTTGATTGCAGTACATTTAACTTTACTTTGTCGAGAATTTATCATCATTAAATGCCATAAAATTAGTTTCACATTTCAAAGCGCAACCCTAATTCCAACTTCTANACACGACGCTCTTCCGATCTGCCTTCATTCGATTCCTTTTGAAAAGTTGTGATTAAGTGGAGACGATTAAATATTTACCAGACTCTACCCGGTAGGGCTACTCGCGCTGAATTCCAATTTGATTGCAGTACATTTAACTTTACTTTGTCGAGAATTTATCATCATTAAATGCCATAAAATTAGTTTCACATTTCAAAGCGCAACCCTAATTCCAACTTCTACTTCAACTTTCGATCGCATCATATTTAGATAAATTCTTTTTCTGAGAACCGGAATAGCCACATCGCATAATTACGTAAAATATAATAGACAAACAAGTTGAAGGTTCGTTTGGAAAATAACACAAAAGTTCTTTCGTTTAAATTTTACGACTGAAACTTGTTTTAGGAATTTCTCTTGAAACATAAAATATTTCTTGAAGAATTCTAATTAGCTTTGCATTAGTTTTTTGAGTGTTTGAATTGTTGTTATTCCGTTATCTAAGCAGATCATTTTCTCATGACTGTCGTAAGTTTTGACTATCGAAAGTCTCGTTTATGACTTGAATGCTTTTAAGGACTTTAAATTACTGTCAAAATCTTCTTCGTATCAACTTCGAAAAGACTCCCAAAAGTGGAATTTCTAATTAAATTTTGTTGTTTCTTCACTCCCCGTTGTCATTTCTTATACATATTATATGCGATTAAACTATTCTAGATCAAACTTAAAGATTAAAAGCCTTCGGTTGCGTTTTTCATTTTCTCAGCTTACTAAATCGCTTTCATACCAAAAACGTCTTCAAAAAATGAATGCGAGGTGATGACCGAAACAGAAAAAAGTAAAAAATGAAACGAGAACTCACGGAAAGAAGACAAAAAATATATCGAATAATTCGTTTACAAATCCAAATGAAAAGTTTTTTCTTTTTTTGGTTTAGCATTTTGAATATTGAGCAGAACAAGTGAGGATGATGAAGAAAGCAAAGCAAAGTAAAGCAGAGAAAGGAGAAGAATGATTGAAGACATTTTAATGAACAGTTGCGTGGGCTTAAATAGAACTGTTTCTATCATCATCATCATCATCTCATCATTCGTGTCAAAAGAATTTCATTTCGTTTCATAAATTGCGAAACATTTTAATAGAACATCATTGCGCGTTAAATGTACAGTGAAGCAGTTAATTAAATCATATCTGACTATAGATACTTGATAAGCGTACGGAGATGATTTTGCTATTCGTAAATCAAAAAGACAACGGAATTTTGTATTCGTAAAGGTAAAAGAGGGAGAGAGAGAGATAGAAAGAGACGAGCGGTGAAAACTTAGCTCGCTTATCATGCTACAATTATTTTCATTACGTTTTTTTGCAATAAATTCCGTTGTTTTTCGGGATGTTCCGTTCTTTTCATTTTTACATCGCACAAACATTGCATTCATCACAATTTCAAACAAACTTCCATAGAATATTGAATGTGCAGCATATCGAACGTGAATCAGAGCATTTAAATAATCAGTTCAGTCTTTCATTTGTTTTTTTTTATTGTTAACCGAAAAACTTTGGCACAGATTCGAGAAAAGTTTGAAATGATTGAATTGCTTCAATTCCTGAAGCGAGGACAACATGTTTGGAATATTTAAATAAATAAAAGTTTTAAGGCTTTGTTGTTTACAGCCAACAAGTCATCATGTCAAAGTAAGCAGCGACAATTCAATAAGCGCGCATTTAAATATTCTTAACCATAAGTCTTTCAGACACTCATGGATAAAACTTTGTTGATTACAAGTGGGTCGAATGTGCATTAAAGTGACTGTCTAATGTGCTGCTTGAAAGTGTAGGACTCGAAGAATTTTTATGATATCGAATGGGTGCCACCTAAAACGCATCCAATTTCATGAAGTAAAAGATTTACATAATGTCGAGAAAGTAAGGTTGTTGGGCTTAGCGATGATGATTATTAGAAGGCTTGGTTACTTACGGCTTAAATATTTTTATAGTCTATTGAGACGAAGGCAATTTGTTGCAATTAAACACTCAGCACGTTGTCGAGGTTTATTTGTTTGTTGATAGCTGAAAGAAGTATCTTCTTGATGTCGAGGTCGCAGTTAACCGCCAATGAATATCAAAAGAATTTTAGCACCGTTTATTCATTTTTCAACATGTCGACGACAAACTTATCTGTTTCTTTTCTTCTTCTGATTACTTTTGTGTTCACTAAAAAAAATATTTGCACGAGTCGTTGACAAAAGGTGAAGATGAAGGAATGATGGAAATATAAGAAAAAAAAAGTCTCTCAACCAGATGATGTGAACGAACACAGATGATTCCGGGAAGATGCTTCGACACCAAAAAACCAGGTCCGCGACAAACTTGTATGAATAAATTTTTGTTTTATTACTCAGCGACCCGCAACTTTCACAAAAACTTTATTATGCTGCTGTGTTGTTGTTCGATGGTTTGAAGAGTGAAAAAAAATAATAAGTTGATGAATGAAATTACTCTACAACAATGAGCGCTCCTCACAACACAGCAAATTTACATCCATCGAATTTGCTTCTAATTGAAATATTTTTTTTTTTTGCGATATTTCGTTCATTAATCTATGAATAATATTTTTCCACTCTCTTCTCGTATCGGTGTTGTTTAAGCGCTGATTTTTTATGTTACAATTCACGCGAACTTCATTCACAACACAAATTTTTTTGTTGTTTGTTGTAAGATGTAATCAAATAATATTTTAGCAAACAAAAGTCTTGAGAATATTACTTAAAATGAGATGATTTGGTTCCTATGGTTCTTTGTTTCTTTCTTTCGACAATCTTGTTGATTAAAGCACTTAATAATCTTCTCAATGTCTTTTCATTTCACGTATTTCTATATTTTGTGGCTGCTTTTTCAACTTCACAACACTTTTATCGAAACCACCACAAAGAAATCTTTTTCTTCTTATTTTATTTATTTTTTTTAAATTCAGAAATCTTTCTATGGAACGCTCCAAAATGCCAAGAAATATGAAATGAAATTTTCCAAGAAACTTAATATTGCTTCGCGTATTTTTTCTTTTATTTTATTTCTCTTCTCTTGTCGCCCTTTGAATGTGTTTATTTATTCTATTAGTCATATGCACTTAAAGTTGAGAAATAAAATGATGTGCTTGCTGATTGAGTGAATAAGACACTTTTCACTCTTTTTCACAGAAGGTTTATTTTTTCACTTCGTTTGAAAGCACTTAACATTTAAAAGTAGAAATTCTCGACACGAACAGAAGTGGCTGAGAATATTTTTAATTACATGTACATAGAAATTGAAATGAAAAGTTGAATTTGTAGGAAACAATTCAATAAATCTTAATTTTAAGTTGTGCAACTTAAGTTAGTTCGTAGTTTTCTTTGCCTTAAACAACTATATGACACAACATTCTGCTGTTTCCATGATAAAAAAGTTTATTCTTTTTTTTCCTTCAATTTCTTTAACAAAAATATTGCACAAGCGTCCAGCCTTAAACACTGTCTTACTAAAACTAAACCGAGCTCACAAGTGTATATTTTTAATTTCTTTAAAACATGATGGAAAAGAAAAATATCTTAAAGCTACACAGCTGAATATTTCAATGTGTTTGAGTTGAAAATAAAAATATTGTGTAAAGCAGCGAGGTGTGTGAGTGTCGACTGAGTGATGTCTTGCAAGTTATCTAAAGAAAAGCATGTATTGAAAGAAACGGAAAGACAGTTTATTGTGTAGATTTAAATCTGTTGCAGGTGTATAGTTTATACAATCTTAACTAGTACTTGAAGTGTATTCAAAGATATTTCATTTTTGACATGGGCCGGATGAGGTTTTTATAGTTGATCTTCACATGAAGTCAACACTTCAATAACCAAATTGATTTAATTATTAATAATGTTTTTAACAAATATTTCTTTAATTTTCTTCTCACTAATTACAGCCCAGTTCTACTTTTACAATTGTAATGTCTTAGTGTTGATATTCAACATGTCTCACATAAATATCAGCAATATTTTCAATACCAATAATAGATTTTTCTATCTCGAAATAACAGAAGGAAAAAAAATATCAACGTCGAAACAAAATCACATTAAACTTCAATAATTCGACGTCAAGTCAAGGCATTCAAGTTTTCTTGTTGCCTTTCTTTGGTCATTTGAACAAACACAACGCAATCGTCAGAGAATGTTTTTTGCAAACATATCTAACCGATTCCCGAAAAAAAATATTTAATTTGCAAACACGTCGAGATTGTAATATGTAAACGTATCCATAGCATACATTAGGGCGGCTGTGACGCTTTGAATTGTTGACGGTCGAAATATTATTAAACAAGCAACAAAACTTCTTTTTTTTTGCGTTCCACATATTTATTAATTTACGATTGAAACAATTGGGAGAATATGAAGGAATCTTGACTCAAACTGTGATATTGAATTCATAGAATAATTGAAAGCAAGTTGCCTGTGCATGTGATGAATCAATAAAACAATTTAAAATATTTTAAAATAGCGTCAGACGATTGTAGTTGAAATCATTTTGGAATTTATATTTGAGGACTCGACAGACATTTAAATGATAAACAAATCGAATTTCATTTCCACATTTTACGACGACAACTTTTCAAAACGACTTCGAAGTCCCCAAAGATTCTTTCCAGATCTTAATTTTTTTCATTTTTGTTTCGCTTCACAATAAATTTTTTAAAAAAATAAATACTGTGGAAGGTCTTCAATGTTTGCTTCATGTCAACAAATGCTTCAGAGTTTATCAACTCAAACTACATGGTAACCAAATTAAAATCGCAAAACAAACAGAACTCAAGCACCTATCGTGAATGAACAGTTCTTTATAACTTTTTAAGTTATTCGTAATATGCTAAAAACTTTATTTGTCTGATGTTTCTGAATAATTCTCAAATGTAATGAGGTATTTAATAAGTCGAATTGTGTAAATATATTTAAAGAATCTGCTGATGATAAGCAATGACTCAACTTTCAGATATTTCACTGTACATAAAATTAACTTCATGATCCTAAGAATATTTTTTATGATGGATATTTTAAAGCTCTTTCTCCTTAATCATGATTAAATGCCCCAACAAACAATGATAAAAGTTACCTCTTTTTCTCTCACCGAACATATTATTTATAATTTATCCGAATTAAATTGATACTCAGGTTCTGTCAGTCTACTTAAATATCTCTTAAATCCAGTACGACAATGGGTTCATAAGTTTTGTAACTAATGTCAGTTGTTAGCTTTGTGTAAGAGTCTTTAAAAGACATTTCCTTTGTTATTACGCTTTGAAGAATCCAAAAAAGATAATTTTATTAATGAGACCGCAGTAACAGCGAAAGCAACAGCAACAAAAGAGTTTGTGTAATGAAACAGAACTTTTTATTAGAATGATTGTTATAAGCGCTTCGGATGATAAGATAACAAAGTAGAAAGGCTTTTGCTTTACATTGTGAAAGAAACTCAATCCCCAAAAACTTTTTATGGCTCATATTTGTCATGATTTTAAGTTTAACATTCGAAGAACAAGAAACATTCTCCAAGTTTCTAATGTCAAACGAAATCCTCAAAAAAATGTCAAACGTCGGCAGTGAAATTAAGTGCATTTCATCGTTCAGTGATTAACTCAGTCAACCGTTCTGTTTTGTGTTCTTTTTCTTTACATTTTATTTCTTTTTTAAGTGTCTTCGATTTCTTCGCCTTGCCCTGGAATTTTATAGTTTGGAGACGACTCGGTGGGATTAAGACATACAATGTTTCCATTCTCATCGCACAACATGAAGCGCTCCCAAAAATATTTTTATGTTATTTTCATTTTTATGTAATCAACAGTCAGTTGAAAAATTGTTGTTACGTTGCTCATGAGATGAGATTGCAATCTTCGAATTTGTTGCAGCTTCAATTCATAAATTCGATACGACCAATTTTTTAATTTTAATATTTCATTTCTCATTTTTGCTTGCTTTTGTTGTTGCTTCTGCTTCGAAGTCTTTTTATAATTAGCATGCATCTAGGGCATTAACATTGACTTCTCATATGGTAAAGGCAAGCGGATTTCATTCAATAATAGTCACTTCGTACTTAATTATTGTTTAGAGAGTTTTTATTTTCCTTTCCTTTACTTTATGTCTACCTAGTTGGTGTCACCATTCCACGAGCGTCCGTGAGGAAGAATAAGTGAATTGAAAGTTGGCATGTTTGGCGATTCATCTGGCAACAGCCAACGGTTTAATATTTAAACGATCGCATGATAAGGAGCTGTGAGAGTTTTCTTTTATTGTTCCATCCGCTTGGATGAAATAAAATTGCTAACCAAGCTCAGATGTTTCTCCATTCCATCGACATAATGACATTCTTATTAGACTCTGAAATCACGATTCTCTTCTTTCTTTCCATTTTTTTGTTATTCTAAATAAACACGGCGGCGATTTCAATGAGCGTCGCAATTTTAGCTTTTCTTTCCACCTTGTTAAGGTATGCTAAGAAAGGAAAATCGACATGGTTAAAGGTAAAGATGTCTGAAGGACATGCCACAATTACATTCAAGCTTCGTTCTACGGTCGCTTAAAGAACTTGTTGTTCACGTTTGCTTAGAGCAAGGTCAATTTCCGCAATTTAATTGGTGAGGTAATGAGAATGTAACAAAGAAAATGGTCGATAACTGATTAGAACAGCTACAAGCGTTGAGTGTGTAAGTCGCGCAAATTGCTTATTGCACATGATAAATCACCTTGATATTAATCGCAACACAATCCCGGTTTGAAGCAAGATATTCTTTTATTTTTTCTCTTTTATCGTAATTTGATTAATGATATCCCCGACAATGTTTTTTTTCTAATTGCGAAAAAACGTCTTTAAAGTACAAGTTAAACAATATTTACACGCTTCTCTTCAAATACAATATTCTTGAACTTAACAAAGCAAATTGATAATTGTTTCTTTTTATTATTTTGAAAGAAAAAGAGATATAAAGCATCAGCAGCGTGTTAAGGCGTTTTGCAATTTATTATGTGGTCTGTTTAGTAAGTTGAATTAATCATTATGTTTCCCTCTATACACCATCATCGGTTGGATACTTAGCGCAATTGAACTGCGTAATTGAAAATATGTTTTGCGACATCTTAAACTATGTTTTTACTTGCTCAACTCTTCTGGAACTCACAAAGCGCTCAATTAGAGATTCAATCAAATGTTAATTCACAATTTGTGACGACATAGTTGGAGAAATTCAATTAGACAATGATATTTATTCGCACATGTGCCAAAAAATAAATGTTAAAATAGGCGTAGAGTGTAGTGAACCCGTTTGTTTATGGCGATGTGATCGTTTAACATATTTACATAAATATGAATTTTATTGAAATAAATTACAACAAAAGAACATGCGAAATAAAAGACGCAAGAAAGAAGAAAAGAGTTGAACACTGATGGTGTTAGTTGATAGTTCAGTGATTTGGACGAGAGACAGCAAAAAAGTGATTACGTCGAAGGTTTTTATTCGTTGCTTCAGTCTTAAATCGTTTATTGTTGTTAGCCGCTCATAATGTATGTGATTTCATTTCGCAAGCGGAAAATAAAATGTTTATGCTGAGTCAGTTTATGCTTGTGGAAAGACTTCATGCATTATGATGATTTTGAAGCACTTCAATCAACCGAAAACGAGACGTTTGAAACAAACAAAAAAAAAACGTTAAGAAGAAGAAAATTTTTTGAGTGTCTTAAGGCGATGGAAGGAAGAACACCCCAAGAAGGTGCGCATTTCAATGTTGACTTGAAAAATTCTTTCCATTTCACATTAGCTTTAGTTTACAACCTGTCGTCTTCGAGTAAATTGCGTTTGCAATAATAACAGAACAACACAAGAATAAATGCTTTACGTCTTTTGCAAGCATACGTGAGGATTAAGAAATAAAGAAAAAGCATTCCAGAGAAGTAAAAAAAAACGACAGGGATGGAAAATAAAATAAATGGTAAAATAAATTATGTTTTATGTTTGAAGTCTTATCTTCAAAGAAAATATTTCAACATTTATCGTTTGTTATTTCCTTTGAAGTGTTTTCTTTCTCTTCGTTGTATTTTCAGCATGATTGACATGAGAAGTGTCAAGATATGATATTTGTAATACGAAAACATTCTTCAAAACATTATTTTGTAATTGTCCATATTTTCTCTCAAATTACATTACTTAAAAAAGCTTTCAGTTCATTTTTTTTTCTTTAAAGCTTTTGACGTATTAATTTCTTAATAATATTTATTTAAAATATCTTGAGATCCGACGAGTATTTGTTTGCTTTTAATCATCAGAATTTCCATTCTTAAAAGCACAATGATGAATCAAAACATTGCTCAATCGTAAATGATACCCAAACGTGGGTTGTAAAATTCTTGAAGCATAAATTCACTTCAAGTGCTTGGTTGTTGTGTAATGAAGAGAAAGAAACTAATTTATTTTAGTTTCATTGACATTTTAATTTTGAGTTGTTTGAAATTAGTTTTCTGTTAACACTCGACGTGACATAACATTCGATTTGTTTGTGTTCTCTCGCCATGCCCATATCAGATGCTAAAGTATTTGAAATCAGGTATTGAGGATAAAGCCGTGCCTAATTGATGTTCATGTCATAATTGGAGCGGATTTTTTTTTCCATTTTCAACGAAAGAAATATTTATGAGGCCTAATTGCACTTAAAAATAAATTGTTTTTGAGTTTTGAGTATTGTGTAAATCATTAAGCTCAAAGAGTGATGTGAATGTGGATTACCCAAAAAGCCACTCGAAAATTTTGCTTTTTCATTTTATCTTCTGATAACGAATTCAGATTACGTTTTATGGCGTTTAAATCGTGATAAATGGAAAACAAAAAAGTCTTTTATTATTTATTATTCCTTGACAGATGATTTAGATAAAGACTTAAAAATATCTAGTGGAAAAAAGTTGAATATTTGAGTATAATCACTGATTACCTAATCAAACGTCTGCTTAGTTTTTCGATCGTTATGATGCAGCTCTCACACTTTAAGAGAAAACCCCACGCTGCAGTGCCTAATTATTAATTAAATCAAAAAATATTGGTTCAACTGATGAACTCGTGTTGGAACATTTATTATTCAGCATAATCAATGCGCTTTGATTACGTTTTATGCAAATTTCTGTTTTAAATCCGTAACTCAAACAACACCTATTTTTATTTTTCATGTTTTTTCAAACTTTTCTCTCATTTCTATTGAGATATCTACTAAAAGATGTTTTTGTTTTTATCAACTTTTAATGTAAATAAAGTGAAATCTAAAAAACTAAGTTGAACAGCTTAAAGCACTTCGTCAACTGCAATGACAGAGTTCACAATGTGCGTCTCGACTAAAAAGCTTTTACGAAGACTTTTCCTTATGATTCTCTTTAAATTTATCAAAATATGTGTGTAGCTGAAGTTGCATAATGAATTGGAACCCTCAACGAGAAAAGTTTCAAAGTTCACTGACTTGTTTTTATGTAAATAAAAGTCATTTGATTGAAATAATGTCACAAGTACACTTATCATCGTAAACGTTACTTTTCCCTTAAAAAAGACTTTCTCGTCACTACGTCAAAGTGCTTTTTTATGAAGTGGATTCTTCCTTTTATAATAAAGGATAGAAATTCGTGAATAACTTTAAGGATGTTAAAAAAAACTTTTGCGTAAAGGCATCAAAGGTTCTTCTTGTTTTCGGGGAAGTTTAAGTAAGAAAGATGTGTTTTTTTGCTTTAAGTACATGAGGTTACCTTTCCATCATCGTGCTATTAGAATAGCTTGGTAAATTTCGTAAGGATTTCATATCCCATTTCCTTAAAAAAAAGAAGAAAACATGTAACACCTTTTAAGAAAAGTTTTTCATGTTCCCTTTCCACACTTTTCGATGAAAACACTTTCAACATAATGAATTCTCACTTTGTTATTCTTTTCCTTGTCTATTTTTTGCCGTATCATGCGCGAAAATCTTCCCGTAGTTATCCAATACATTGTTTGAAGTTCATAGTAAGTGTGAAATTTAATATTCTTTTGTGAGATATGAATAGCGTCAAATATTTGTTTTCAAGGAAAAGTTGTTTCCTTTTCATACATTCCTGAAGTTTTATATCTTTAAAAAAGCCTTTTTCAATAACAGAAGCTTTTCTTTACGTCAGTTTGAGAGTAAAATAACATTCGAAATTTGACACAAATTCCTAATACATGTTTCAATGCGTATTCAGTTAAACTCTGCTAACGTAATCAAATTTTAAAGCAATCAGCTTCGCTTTCATGAGCTTTTCTCGTTCCATTTCAATCTTATCCTTACTTATTTGGTTTTGTCATTGAAACCATGGAAAGCGATGAAAACGACTTTGATTTAATAAAGAAATTTATTGTCTGAAAAAATATTCTCGAGTATTATTCGTGTTTAAAAACTTTTCTTCGGTCGTCTTCATCTCTCGAGTACAATTTGTGTGTCTCCAAGAAAGCAAACTCTTAAGATTTTACGTCTTTTCGGAATGAAAAGCGAAAAGTGATGTTTTCATATCAAAAATGTTGTTCTTTATGATATCTGATGTTATGGAAATAGAATTTTCTACACTTGAGAGACGAAAAAAACGAAGCCTTTTAAACGAAGGCTTCCGATATCGGTTTACAGTTTTTCTTTTTTTCTTTCGAATTTCCCTCCTTGGGGGAAAAATGTTTGAATTATATTTTTTGTTTTGTTTACGCTTGCTTCGAAGTTTGTTGCTTCTATAAAAAGGTTTTTATATGAGGAAACTAATTTTTATGTTTTTCTAACCAATCGCAAGCGTATTTTTTTACTTTTGAGAGTCCATCGAAGGTTCAACAACTTTTCATCGTTTTAGGAAGAAATAGGAAACGTAATTTTGACAATTTTTTTCACTCATGTCATAAACTTCATGATTTTTCCACATCATCAGCTCTATTGATTGTGCCCGAAAGGTCAATAGAGGCAAGTGGCGACGAGCCAAGTAGAAATGATTTGATTGATTGACAAAGTGGATTGGCAATCGTTTTCAGTCTTCGTTATTGAAATGTTCCTTTGTTACATAAGAATAAGTATCGTTACAGTTTTCCGATGCTTTGAATCTCATCATCTTTTCAAATGGATTACTAATTCGATTTGAACATCAATGACGTGTTCTGTCGTTTTCTTTGTTGGATAAGGAAATGATATGTTATGTCTCAAAGTTGCGTATAAAAGGCACAGTTTCAAGACCTTTTCATCGAACTTTTAACATTTAAAAAATCGAGCAGTCAATAAAAAAAAGCATCGCTCGTTCGAATTGATTAAATAAAGCTACAAAAAATTAATGTCAATCACCCGAGGAAACGAAATAAAAAAATTTCTGATTTTCTTTTTCTCTGTCGAACTTTTTGAAACAGAAAACTTTTAATGATTCATCAGGAGGGCATACAAAAAGCTGAGAGGAAACATAATGAGCGTTGATTCATTATGTTGGGAAAATAGGTTAATGAATGAATCGATTTGCAAAGGAATATGACAATTATAGCAATTTTAACATTTTCCGTGGATGTTAAATGAAAATTATTGCTGTTTGTAAACTTTATGCATTTGCTTGGCTAAAGAAGCGTTGCAAGGAAACTCTTCTTGGTTTTAATTCAACAAAGTTTAGAAAAATAACAATTTTCCTGGGCATAAAGTATCCAACTTCAACAGGAAAAAAGAAAACGTTTAAAAGTTAAAAAACTTTAATGAAAAATGATATAAAATTTCTCAATCATTTCATTCAGCACGTGCTTAACTGAAGAAAGAAAAAATAAAATAAAATCTTCCAACTTTCAATGATATTTTCCAATGAATTTTTAAAATCAATCACAATCTGTCACCTTCGAACAATATTGAAAGAAATGTAAAAATATTTTCTCCGGTATTCAGTTCCTTAATTTAAATTTCGAGAAATTGAGTTCATAAATCATCATCGTTAGACGTGAGGAAAACATTGAAGTTTTGTTTTCAAGAACAGAAGAAGGCAAATCATGGCTCTTAGTTTATTTGTAGATGTTTTCAACGCAAATCTACCGTGATTGATTTAAAAAATGAGTTCAGCCAGCTTTTGTAGACGTTTGTTTATATTGAATTTCATTACAATTCAAAGGATTCTTGGAGCAACGAATTAAAAATAGAAAATTCATTGAGTATGTAATAATATCTTTTTAAAGAAGCAGACCAAACCAAATATTTGTGGCTGCAACTTGCAAGTTTACAAAACTCTTGAAAAGCTAAAGTTTTCGATTGATTTTGTTTGAGAAAAATATTGAAAAGAAAAAGTTTTTCAATTTATGTCCATACGTATCTACAAATAAACTTTGTAAATAAATTTTTATCAGAAAACGAAAAAAAAAATTAAGTTTTCCTTAGATATCAGAAGAACCAGCTAAAGTGTCGTTATAAAAAAATATTAAAAAGAAATGTTGAATTAAATTGCGGGAAATTTCTCGTATTACCTTTCATTACATTGAAAGCATTTCCCTTCACTTCATAAAGAAATCCATCCTGATGAGAGTGCTTTTTGCAATTTAAAAGATGGATAAGGAAACAACATCAAACCCCGTTCATACGAAATCTTTGATTGCGAAATGTTTACATTCAATATGTATGACCGACTCACGATCGTAAACATTTATTCATTGCGGATGAAGTTCTTACTTATAAATCGGAGATATTATGAGTTAATTAAAATATTCTGAAGCCAAATTTCAGACATTTTCTTGCTAAATAACTTTCAAAACTTTATTTTAATATTCTCAAGGAGAAGAATATTATTTTCCATCTGAAAGAATTGCGTGAAAAAAAATTCCAGTCCT